AAGCCAACAGCAGAAGACAGACGACGTACTCAAAATATCCAAATCAATAAAGTTATTGGTGAAAATAAAAATGTGTCTTTTATTTTGCAGGGAAAAAAAAATACATGGTCTTTTGAGCCAACCCAAAACTTTGCAGCTCCCTGTGAATGACAGGGAGAAAAAGAAGACAGGATGGGCAGGAAGTACCCGTAACAGCCCTGAACCAAAGCCCTGGGGATGAACATGGGCACAGAGCTCCTTCCGGGGTGACGAGAACGTTCAGGAACGTTCAGGATGACTGCACAACACTGTAAATGTGCTAATTGCCACTGAACTGTACATTTCTTCCCAAGAGAAATGATTAAAATGGCAGTTTTTATGTTACGTGCATCTTAACCACAATTTTAAAAACTCAATAACAAAAAATAGAGAGGAAAGCCATTTTCATAAAATAATAGTCTTCTAAACAACTGGTAAATCAAAGAAGAGCACAATGAATTCAGAAAACTGAGTGATAATGAAAAATACAATATATCAAAATTTATGAAGTAAATCTAAAGCCATGCTTGGAGGGGAATGTATAACTTTGAATTTATTAGGAAAAAAAACTGAACCCTGGTGTGACTCAGTGGATTGAGTGCTGGCCTGCAGGCCAAAAGGAACAAAAATATCACCGGATCAATTCCCAGTCAGGGCATGTGCCGGGTTGCAGGTCAGGCCCCCACCTGGGGGCGTGCGAGAGACAACCGTTAGATGTAGCTCTTGCATATTGCTGTTTCTCTCCCTTTCTCCCTCCCTCTCTCTCTAAAATAAAGTAAAATCTTTTAAAAAAAGAAAAAAGAAAAAAACTGAAAAATTAATGACCATTCATCCCAGTAAGGTGAAAAATGAAGAGCAAACTGAATCAAAAAAGGAAATAGAAGGAAATAAAACTTTTAAATAAAATTAATTTAAAAACAAAATACTGGGGATGTAATGTACAGCCTACTAACTATAACAACACTGCATCGCACATTTGAAAGTTGCTAAGGGAGTAGATCTTAAAAGTTGTCACATCCCTGGTAGGTGTGGCTCAGTGGATTGAGCACCAGCCTGCAAGTCAAGGGTTGCTGGTTCAATTCCCAGTCAGGGCACATGCCCGGGGTTGCAGACCAGGTCCCCAGTAGGGGGCGCTTAAGAGGTAACCGCAGATTGGTGTTTCTCTCCCTCTCTTTCTCCCTCCCTTCCTCTCTCTAAAAATAAATTAAAAAATCTTAAAAAAAAGTCACAAGACAAAAAAATCTTAACTATGTATGGTGATGGATGTTAACTAGACTTATTCTGGTGATTAGTTCCCAATGAAACGAGTCATAATCTTTTGCTGGTGGAGGGTCTTGCCTTCAATTTGTAAAAAAGGCAACATCTGTGAGGCTCAGTAAAGGGCTGCGCAATAAAATAAGGTCTGCCTGTATAATCAAATGCCGAATCATCATGCTGTACACCTGAAACTAATATAATGTATGCCCATTTCACCTCAATTTACAAAATATTAAAAACAAAACAAAAGCACAATGCTGAATGTCGCCCAAGTCAAAAGTTGGTTCATCTGAAAGACAAAAATAATTGCTAAACTTCAGATTGACAAAGAAAAAGATCAAACACTAATTAAACTGAAACCAGGAGTGAAATAAGGACTTCACAATACCACCACTGCCAGGGATACACTGTCCGAATCTAATCATGAAGAAACCATCAGACTAACCGAGGCTAAGGGACTGGACACTTCAAAATGTCAATGTCATGACCAATAAATTCAGTCTCAGAAGCTGTCCTCAAGGGAAGGAAACAAGGGGCCTCTCAACTAAATACAACATGGGAGCCTGGTCCTTAAAAAAAAATCGCTGAGACCCTGACTGGTGGGGCTCTGTGGGCTGGGCGCCTCCCACAAACAAAAAGGTCTCCTGTCAGTTCCTGGTCAGCGCTCTCCCGTGACTGGGTTTTGGGCCAGGTGTTTCCCTCTCTTTCTCCCTCCCTTCCCCTCTCTCTAAAAATAAAATCTTTTTCTAGAAAACATTAAAAAAATTGCTATGAAAGACATGGAAACAATTGGCCAATTGTCCACGAGGCCTGTAGAGAAGCAGTTTACCCCGGTAAGCTTCCCGACTTGGGTAACTGTCCTGTTGCATGATCCTACTTGTTTTGTTGTTGTTTATCAGCATGCTTTATTATTTCAAAAAAGGTAAAAATGCAACTGAAGCGCAAAAAAGATTTGTGCAGTGTATGGAGAAGGTGCTGTGACTGACAAAACATGTCAAAAGTGGTTTGTGAAGTTTCCTGGTACTATTGACATTTTGGCCAAATAATTCTTTGCTGCGGGGCTGTGTTATGCACAGGAAGATGTTTAGCAGCAGCCCTGGAGTCTACCCACTAGAAGCCAGTAGCGGGAGAGAGCTGACAGGCTCAATATCCAAGGCAATAAAGTTATTGGTGAAAATGAAAAAATGTGTCTTTTATTGCACAGAAAAAAACCACACAGACTTTTTGGCCAACTGAATATGCCAAAAATGTTGCATATCTTCTTCCATCTTCAATATTAAAATGGCTGCACAGAAATTCACCGATTTTGGTAATTTTTTTAAATGCATGATGATATGAAAACTGTCACAATACAATCTAACAAAATTGTTTCGAATGAAGTTCAAGACAACTAAGCACCACTAGAGCCACTGTGTGGGAAAAAATGGTAGCAAACTTTTTGGCCAACCCAATATTTAGAAAACAAATTCAAAGCAGTAGGTGGGCTCATTGCTGTAAGGGTATTATTATTTCTAGGCCTTTCCAATGCGCAGAACAAGAAAATACACCCATTGCTTTCAAGTCAAATTCACCACCACCAGGTCAGTGAAAGATTTATTAGGAGGCAAATGAGCTCCTTCTAAGGTTCTATACCAATTTTGTAGTATTTCTTATTTTCCTTAAAGAGACTCTCCAAAACTGCATAAGCTTCAAGCCTCACAACAACTGTCTATTCCTGTACTCCCGTCCCCTGACACAGGGCCTTCCTCCTACCCCGCGGTCCCATCTTTACACTCTATGTTCCTCCACAGTGAAAGCCTTCGTTCCCCCTCGCCTCCCCTCCCCAAGGAGGCCTGGGAATCAAGGCAAAGTTCACGGATTCTTTCTTTTTTTCTTCCGGACATCCTTTTATACAACTGTTCCCTGACCCTCCTCTGGGCCAGGAGGCGTCATGGAGCCACGTGTCAGTGACTCAGGAAGTGACAGACCTTCATCTGCTCCCAGGTGAGGAGGTCAAACCTGGCTGCTCCTGGGAAGAAACCCTGAAGCCCACGCAGCTCCCTGCACCTTCAGCTTGCACCTGAGCCCAGGGCGGGGACAGGAGGGGACAGGAGCCAACAGGAGCCCCCAGGAGCCCCGCGCAGGAGGCCAGCAAAGGGCTTACACGGAGCAGGAGGAGGCAGCGGTCACCCAGCCTTCAGCCTGCTCCCTGGTGCTGCCGGACCTCTGGAGCCAGCAGGAAGCTGAGCCTGGCCACGAGGCGGCTCATTATCAAGAGGACCTCACCTGTGCACCTGCCTGCCTGCAGGTGGTGGAAATCAGGACCTCAGTTCCCGCGAGGAGCTCCCCTCCTCCACTCCCCCTCCAGGGCAGCCAAGGTGTGTGCCCAGAGGGCCTCTTGCGAGGGAGCCTTTGCTTAGGCGTGGAGGCACTGCCTGTGGGGGGCCCAGACCCCACCAAGGTCAAGGTCAGCCTTGCAGCCTGCAACCCTGAGGGGGTGGAGTGGGCCACCAGAGGTTGGGTAGGCTGAGCCTCCTCCCGCTCCAAGTAAGTTGGGTGGGTTTCAGGGCTTCTCCCAGAGGGCAGTCAGGTTTGACCCACCTCATGTGGGAACGGATGAAGGTCTGTCACTTCCTGAGTCCCTGACCTCCACAGACACAGCGGAAAGGGAGTGTTCCGGTGGCTCCCCGAGGCTTCCTGGCCCAGAGGAGGGTGAGGGAGCAGGTGCGTGGTTGCAGTTGCTTTTGGGGCATTCTTTCAGGTAGCACGTCAGGGTGGTGGGGAAGGGACTTTGAGGCTCAGAGGGAAATAGGGAGACCCCAAACTGAGCCTTTGCCCCCAGCAGGACACAGCCAGGCTGGAAACCTGGTCCCCCTGCTCAGGGCCAGGCCTCTCCTGGGCTGGTGGTCTGGTCCCGGAGGCTTCAGGCCCACCATCCTAACTGCTGCGAAGCACCTGGGCCGTGAGAGGCCAGTGGCAGCCAGCTGCAGCCACTCTGCTCCTCCAGGGCACATGGCTGACCTCAGGAGAGCCCGCCCAAGCCAGGGAGCGAGGGGCGGCGGGCGGCAGCACCGGCCTGGCGCGGAAATCCACGTGGCAATGGCCAGTGTCCGGGGCCCACTGGTCGTGGTCCCAAGTGGGTCCTCTCTCCATTGCCTTCCCCTCCAGAGGCCTCACAGCGATGACGGGTCCATTTCTCTGCCCTTCCTGCTCCATAGAGGGCTGTGCCCACTGCGTTTGGGATCTGTGTTTGCTTTCTCTTTCCTCTATTTTCTCTTCACCTACCTCTTCGGGCCACAGATTCAGAGAGTGAGCTCTGGCGGCCGAGGCCCCTTAGCCCAAAGCCAGCCCTCTGGGCACTGGGACCCTCACTCACAGACGCAGCGCAGGCCCGCTGTGCGCAAACCGTAAGCAAGGGGGATGCTTTTCAAGTCCTGTCTCCCACACCGGGCCTATTGCAAGCCTTGCTCCTCCCCCCGGGTCCTCCTCCCTGGCCCGTCTGGCACCCTCCTTCCCTCAGGGGCCACTCTCCTGGACACTCACCCAGGCCCACTGGACCCAGGTCCTCAGTTGTCTGACCCGTGTCACCCCTGCCTTCTCCTGGAGCTCTGTGGCTCTCCCTGGGCAGAGAACAGTCTCTCTCTCGCTCCCTCACACACACACACACGTGGTGGCATTTGTCACAAAGCCAGTAAAGACCTCCTCCCCTCCCCAGCAGCACGCAGGCATGGACACGAGGCTCAGGGGATAGGTATGCTTTATTACTTACAATTAGTTCCCACATGTGACTGTCCAAAGCCCCATCACCTGTCACGGTGCTTCTAATGACTTAGCCCCACAACCTTCCCAAACAGCCCGGGGCCCGAGAGAGCACCGCTTCTGCTGCTTGGAGGCCTGTTCATTCTGGCCCCCACCTCCTCCCCTTCCTGACCCCTGACCTCAGGGAAAAGAGCAGACGCCGCCAAGACCCAGGCCCACCAGGTCTCCTTCTGGGTACCACGGCCCATGGGAAATAGGGAGCCCCAAAGCGGTCACTTAGCCCTTTCCACGGCCCTGCCTTCAGGAGGCCATGTCCCCTCAGATGAAGAAATAAGGCACAGTTGGGAAGGGAGAGCAGAGCCAAGAAACAGAGCTGCAGATGGGGGTCCTCGGGCACTGATCACAGCGCCACGCCTTGCCTCGCCCTGAGCCCCGCCCCCAGACACTTCGGTCTCGGGCGGGCAGAGGTCCACACCGCAAGGGCGGGGGCCAGGGCGGCCTGTCCTCCCCACAGTGCCTGCGAGGCAGGGGCAATGGTCAGCCGGGCAGGGGGCTCAGCTCCGGTAGCTCTTGAGCAGGTGCCCCGCGATGACCAGCCGCTGGATTTCACTAGTGCCTTCGTAGATCTCGGTGATGCGGGCATCACGGTAGTGCCGCTCGGCTGGCATCTCCGTCACGTAGCCCATGCCACCCAGGATCTGAATGGCCTAAGGTGAAAAGCAAGGGCTCAGGACAGAGAAGACCCCCCGGCCATAGGGAAAAGACACCAGCAGGATCAGCCACACAGAAGGGCGGGCCAGGGGAGGGGCAGCCAACAGCTCTCCTCCACCCGGGGGCCTCGCAGGGCACCACGGCCATGCACGAGGGACACTCACCTGGTGGCTGATGGCTGTTGCGGCCTCCGATGCAGCCAGCTTGGCCATTGCTGCCTCCTAACCACAAGGGACAGCAGGGTCAGAAGCCCGACCTTGCAGGGAGCCCCTAGCATGTGGCCTCGTGGTGGGCGCAGGCCTGGGAGAGCCTACCCTTGGAGCAACAGGCCCACAGGCCCAAGGGACTGGGACCCCGCCCAGACTTCTCCCTCCATCCCTCGGCCCACCAAAGGGCTGACGCCCAAGGAGACCCCTTCCCACAGGTACCTTGGTGAATGGCTTCTTATTATCCTTCAACATGGCGGCACGCCAGGTCAGCAGCCGGGCACCCTCCAGGGCCAGGGCCATGTCCGCCAGCTTGAACTGCGATAACCCGGCCCCAGACCACCAGTCAGGGGTTGCCCGCCCCTCCCTCCTTCCAAGGACAGGAGGGAGGAGACGCGAGCATGGGAGCAGGTAAAAGCTCCTCGCCTGCCCGAGTGCCCTCCCTCCAGGGCCCAGGCTAGGCTCCCGAAGTCTCCGCCTTGTTACCTGGATGCCCTGGAGCTTGGTGAGGGGCGCCCCAAAGGCCCTGCGGTTCTCGGCGTAGTTCACAGCACAATCAAGGGCGGCCTGGGCAATTCCCAGAGCCTGGGAGGCGATGCCGATGCGGCCCATGTCCAGAGTTTGCTGTGGGGACCACCTAGTCAGTGGCTGGCCAGCCGGAACCCAGGGCCTTGACCCAGGGCCCCTATTCCTGCTGCCAGGCTCACCATAGCTATCTTGAAACCCATCCCCACTTCCCCCAGCAGGTTTTCCTTGGGTATTCGACAGTCCTCAAAGATGAGGTTGGCCGTGGATGAGGCCCGGATGCCCAGCTTGTCTTCCTTCTTTCCCAAGGAGAGCCCAGGCGTTGGCATGGGAACCAGGAAGGCACTGATGCCCTGAAAGAGCAGAAAACCCAGGCAGTGATTTTCCCAGAGGCTGCCCCAGGCCACGCCCCTCACCAAACCACACCAGACACACGCTCCAGCCCTTCCCTCCACTTCCCTCAGGACACCCTCTGCTGGCTCCTCCGTGAAGGCACAGACACCAGCCCCAGGCCAATGGCAGGCAGAGGAGGAAGAGAGAAACCCCCAAGGTGCCCCAGAGCAGGGACAGCTCTATGAGGCCAAGGAGATCTGGATCTAGAAACTACGAAATGACTGCAGCCCAAAGGTCTCCCTGGCCCTGTCACCGGAGTCCCCACCTTGTTATACAAGGATCTGTCGGTGCTGGCAAAGACCACGGTGGCTGAGGCCTCCCAACAATTGGTGATCCAGGCTTTGGTGCCATTCAGGACCCACGAGTCACCCTCTTCCCGGGCGGTGGTAGAGGCAGCTCCTGCGTCACTGCCGTTCCCTGACCCACACAGAGACTCAGAATCCAGGGCCACCTCTACCCTCTGCCACCCAAGGGCACTGATGCCAACTCAGCAGGGAACCTAGCTTCAACCCCCAGCTGGTGAGCACATTCAGAGCCAGGGTCCGGGCCCTGAGAGGCAGCTCCAAGGCCATGCCAACTCTGGAAGCATTCAGAGCAAAGGGCGAGCGGGAGGCGTGCTGCTGGGTGGCCTCAGGCCGAGGGGACCCCGGGCCCAAGCGTTCCTCCCAGCTCAGCTGAGGTGACCATCCATGTCAGCACAGGTCCTAGCTCCTGCCTCCCCCCCAGAGGCAGTCCGGCTCCAGTCTGATCTGTGACCTTGATTCTGAGGTGAGGGGACAAGGAGATGGTTGTCCCACTGTGGTACCTGGTTCACTGAGAGCAAAGCAGCCAATTTTGTCGCCGCTGGTGAAAGGTGTGATCCACTTCTGCTTCTGCTCCTTGGAGCCAAACTTCAGGATGGGCCCCAGGTAGAGGGACTGTGGGGACAGAGGGGAGCAGCCCGAGGCCTTCAAGCCCAGGCACAGCTGCCTGCCTACGGACCCCTCCGCAAGGCCTGCTCTCTCCAGAGCCCGAACGACCAAGTCCAGAGGGGGCCAGAAGCAGGGAACCACGGTCCAGATTTTGGGACACAGGGCCCAGTGCCCACCCGCCCACAGGTCCAGGATGGGGACTCACGTTGTTGGCACTCATGATGACTCCGGTGGAGGCGCAGCCCCGACTGATCTCCTCCATGGCGATGGCGTAGGCCAGGTAATCAAGGCCAGCGCCACTCAGCTCCTCCGGCACATCCATGGCCAGAAGCCCAAGGGCGCCCATCTTCTTTATCTGATCTCAGGGAAGGATGTCACGGCCACGGTAATTGGTGACCAGTGCCAACTGGTACCCTCAGAGTCCCAAACCCTGCTAGCCCTGGGCCAGGGCCTGTGCCCCCCACCAACGACCTCCGAGTCCAGATCCTGAAGACCCAGTCTCAGCTGAGGCTTGTGTGACAGCGCCATTCCTTCGAGCCTCCTGCCCCCATACTCCGCACTGGCTCACCTCTGTCTGCAGTCACAACCAGTGAGCAGGCAGAAGGCACAGGAAGCCTTCAGGAGCCTCCAAGGTGAGAAGCATGGCAGCATCACACCATAATGATCATCTTTCCGTCCCTCAAGCACATCACACACCTCCTTCCCCACCACAGGGCCTTTGCACATGCTGTTCCCTGTAGGTAACGACCTTTATCAATTAGGTATTATCCACCTGAGCCCTAAGTCAAATCCTGCCATCACACACTCTTGCTGCACCTGTGCCTCTCCTCCCGCAGTGCTTATGCAGCAGGAAGGTCACCCACTGCTCTGTGTTTTGATGAAGGTCTCTCTCCCTGACCACGAGGGCAGACTGTGTGTTTTTGCTCACTGCTATGTTCCCAAGGTAGTGAGAGAATGAATGAATAGTAAGAGCTTAGGATTTCTGATTTGGAGTAACGGTAACAGTAATAGTGAACCATCAAGTACCTATAATATGCCAAACTCTGCGTAACTGCTCCGTACTCTTCATCTGCGTCTCTCAATGTGAACAACGCTGAGTCAGCCTCAGGCCACATCTGAGGAAAACGGAGCTCAGAGCTTGTAAGTGGTGCAGCTGGGGTTAAAACCATGATTCTGGGATTTTAACCAGCGCACCATGCAGCCTGGCTCTGCCCATCTGACCTAGAACAAATTCCTTAACCTCTGTAGGCCTGCGTTTCACCTGAGAAAGGTGACCCACAATAGAAAAAGACTTAGATTCAAGAAGAAATATCCAAAACCAACTGCCTCTGGGGAGCAGGTGTGGTTGATTTTCCTTTGCCCTGATTATAGGTTTAAGATGTTCTTGCTGGCACTGGCGACAGAAACATTGATTGGTTACCTACTGCATGCCCTCAGTCAGGGACCTGGCCCTCAACCCAGGCATGTGCCCTGACTCAGCACCAAACCAGCGACCTTTTGGTTTGTGGCATGACACCCACTCCATTGAGCCATACAAATCAGGGCTCATTGGTTGATTCTCGTATGTGCCCTGACTGGGGACTGACCCGCAACCCTGGACCGTCGGGGCAATGCCCTAACCAACTGAGCTACCTGGGCAGGGCCGGGAGGAACATCTTAGATTAAACCTGCGATCACAGGTGGACTGACTCAGATGGAGAACACAATGGCATGGAGGGAGAATACTGACTGGGATCTCACCCTCGGGCAGAAAACAGACCTGGACGCAAGCCTTAGCTCCGCAGTTCACTGGCTGCGTAAACTTTGGCACATTTTTTTATCTCTCTCACCAATCTGAGTTTCATCAACTGTGCCCTACAGTATGTAACAATAGTACCTTCACCTCATAGGACTGCTGTGGGGAAACAACACTTCCCAAACACTGAGGACAGTGTGCCTAGCACGTGGCAAGAACCTAACACTTTGAATATTATTACTAACACAATGTCTGACATCTAATAAGCATGTCAACCATTCACCATTATTATTGTCATTCCAGAAGTTAAATCCTGCTACAGACCATGCTCTGGACAAGGGAAACTTCCAGAGCATTTTCTGGGTCCCCAGACCTGGGTTAGGGGCTTAGCTGACTGGAGTCTCAGTGTCCCTGGCTATCACTGTCCCCACTCATCCAGGAGCCCAGGGCAGACCTCCATCATGGGCTGCTGAGGTTGCTACTCTCACCTGAGATGCTGGGAAGCAGTGTTCCTTGTCCAACTTGGCTGCAATGGGAACGAGCTCCTTCTCGGCAAAGTCCCGGCACGTCTGACGCAGCATCTGGTGTGTCTCAGGCAGTTCCACAGACTGGTAGATAGTATGTAACTGACGACGGAGAGCTGCCAGTAAGAAGAGTGGGGGTCAGCAGAAGGCGAATGCAACAGGTCTTGTGCAATAACGATAACAACGGTGATTCACTAACCCACTGGTTCTCCACCAGGGATGGTTTTGCCCCTCAATGGACACTTGGCAATGTCTGGAGACATTTTTGGTTGTTACAACTGAATGAGGAAATGGTATTGGTAAGGGGAGTAGAGACCAGGGATGCTGCCAACTATCCACAGAACAGTCCCCACAGCAAAAGTTATTGGCCCAAAATGCCCATCAGCTGTGCTGCTGTTCAGAACCCCCACGGCAACTGTTTACAGTGCTTGCTGGACACTTGGCACACACTGCCCCACTCAAGCTTCAGTATAATACCAAGAATAATAGGAACACAGCTCTGTGACCTTAGGTAATGGTTTTACCTTCACTGAGCCTCTTCTAATGTTTAAGGTAGAGGACAACAGTATTGAGTATCTGGGGAAAGGAGGATTACAAAGATACTAACTGTGGCATTTAGCACATGGCCTGGCAGGTGGCTCTCAGTAAGGTTCCCTTTATTGTTATTACCGAGGGAGACTGGGTTTGACCAGGCAAAGGAAGCTTTAGCCATGGGTGTCACCGAAGCTCCAGCTAGAGAGAAATGGTAAAATGGGAAAGGAGGTAACAATTACTGGGTAGTATTACACCCCAGGCATTGTATTAAGTGTTTTGCATACCCTGTGATATAATCCTTACAGCTCTATAAGAATAGTAATACATTATTGTGGTCATTTTACACATGGGCCAATTGAGGCTGACAGGGGTTGTGTCTCTTGTCCAAGATCACAAATGCAGGGCGTGGGTTCAATCCCCGTTTGGCTCTGTTGGAAGGGCGCACCCTGAATCTCCACGGAGGGTGAAGTGAGGGGAGAACATGCAGCTGCAGCCTGAGACCGAGGCTGGGGCTAGCGGTCAGAGCAGGCGCCGGGCCGCGCAGGGTCGGGTCACGCAGGCGCCAGCTGCAACCGAACTGGGGCAAAGGCCACACGCGCTCCTAAGGCGGGCGCCGCCGGCTGGCCCGCGGCTGGGAAGTCCCGGCTGCGGGATTCACGCCCGCTCAGCTAGCCCGGGGCTGCGACCCCGCTGTACGCTGTCGGAGAACACTCACCTCCGCGGCTGGGGCCGTAGGCCCGGGCAAGCAGCGCGGCGACGGCCATGGAGGACCAAGGAAGGACGCGGTTTCTCCTAGGATCCTCCTGCAGGGGGCCTTCCGGCTGCAGGGGGCGGGCCGTCGCGGGCTCCGGGCTCCGCCCCTCAGGCCTCACCGGGGGAGCCGCCGCTCTCTTGCGCCCTGGGGGGCGGGGCCTACCGCGGCTCCTCCCGCGCCCCGCCTTGCTTCTTGGAACTTAAACCAATCTCTCGGGTCTATGAAGTCTCGAAGGTAGGTCCTCATACTTTCGTTTTTCTCCTTTTCCTGAGATATTTTGGGAAAGGCGAGCGGCAGCTGCAGGTATTTCGCTGACCTGAGCTGTCAAAGTCTCTCCTGGTTGCTCTCGCAGGTAGTTGGAGATCCCATGGCTACAACCAGCCACAGCCCTTGGCTGAGTCCTCATCAGTCCTTAAAACACTTCCACGGCGCGCCTATCTATCTTAAAATCCAATTCCGAGGCCTAAAAACCTCTATATCCCCACCCACCTCCCCGGCTTCATGCCCGTCATTCCTTTGCTGTCTGTGCTCCGGCCACACGGGCAGCGTTGAAGCTCACACACCTCGCCCGTTCGAGCGTCTGGGCCTTTGCCATCACCGTTCCCTCCGCGGGAATGCTCTTCACTCAGACCCCACTCACCAAGGCCTGCCCGGACCCCAGGAGGCTGGTGTTGCCCCCACACCCTCTCCATCCCATGGTTGGTTTTACTTATTCCTAACACTTAGCATCTGAAATCTTATCGAGTCCCCAAGTAGCAGCTGTGGGGGACTGTGCCACGCAGTCCCCTCTGCCCCACTCCCAACTGTGGGGCAGTCCTTTGGGAGCAGGGCGCATTGCCCCCTAATGCCATGCGTTTTGCCTCAGCATACTCCTCAGGACACCTTCACCCTGCCCAAGAAGCCATGGCAATTTCATATGTCTGGCAAGGATTTCCCTAGCGACACCAGAGAGTCAGACTTCCACACCCTCCCAGGCCCCCCACACATCCCTCCGGCTGCCTTTCTCCCCCCAATACTCAGCCAGGCGTCTTTCCCCAGCACTGACCCACATGCCAAAAATGGTCTTCTCCGCCCTTCCATCATGTGAGGACATGGTGAGAAGACACCAGATTTGCGGGTGCCTGGATCTGGGACTTCCCAGTCTCTACAACTGGGAAGTTAATTTCTGTTATTTAAAAAAAAAAAAAAAAAAAAAAAAAAAGACTTTTTGTTTTCTGCCAAGACCTTGCTCTACATCTTGGGAGAGCAATCAAGACAGTCTACAGCCACACCACCCTGAACATGCCCAATCTCATCTGATCTCAGAAGCAAAAGATACAGCAAAGTCCTTAATATGTTACCTTTCATTTAAAAGAAAGCCTCTAGTCCCCAGTACTTTAAAGCCAAACAAATGACTGTCTTTGGCAAACGCTCTAAGGTCTTCTTCACCTTTCCATCACCCACCTGGCCACCAGCCCAGGAAAAGTGGGAAAAGTGGGAGTGAGTGGTGTTTGTGGGCAGAGGCCAATAATTGCTACAGGTGCCCAGACCATTTAAACCAGAATTGTTTCCCTGGCTGATGTGGCTCAGCTGGTTAGAGCATCGTCCTGTAACCGAAAGGTTGCTGGTTTGGTTCCCAGTCCGAGCACATACCTAGGTTGAGGGTTCAATCCCTGGGTCTGGGCGTGTATGGGAAGAATCAATGGATGCTTCTTTCTTGCATCAATGTTTTTCCCTCTCTCTCTCTCTCTCTCTCTCTTTCTCTCTCTCTCTCTCTCTCTCAAAGCAATGAAGAAAATGTCCTCAGATGAGCATAATAAATTTTTTTTAAAAAATAAAATAGAATTATCTGTGACCTTAAACATTGATCTGCATTTCATTTTATTAGAGGTGTGCGAGTTTTCCAGCAGAGACAGAGATCCAACAAGGGCTGCAAGGGGCTGCAGTAGGAGGAGGGAACTGGCCACAAATACCAGGAATCTGAGGGAACTTTTTGGGGTGATGGAAATGCCCTGTGTCATGATTGTGATGGAGGTCATAAGACTGTGTACATTTGTCAACACTCATCAAACCGTACTGTTAAACTAGGTGTATTTTACTGTAGGTAAAGCACACCTTTAAAAAAAAATTTTTTTTTTAAATGTATTTTTAGAGAACAGAAGGGAGGGAGAAAGAGGAAGAGAAACATTGATGGGTAAGAGAAACATCCATGGTTTGCCTCTTGCACGCTCCCAGCTGGGGACCTGGGCCACAACCCGGGCATGCGCCCTGACCGGGAATCAGGCCACCTTCCAGTTCGCAGGCCGGCGCTCGGTACACTGAGCCACACCAGCCAGGGCTTCACTTTTAAACATGTATTTACATTTTGAATTCTCAAAGGCCCCCAACTAAATAAAGCAAAAACATTGAACCTAAAGGCCAATACTACTCCCCAATCACCCTAAAACCAGCTATGTTCCAACTATTTACAGAAAGGCCACCCCATCCCATACCTGCTCCCCCCAGCAACATAAGGGGCCCGGTCAGGAGAGAAGAGAGGGTCACATACTGTGAAAATCTTTCTTTTATTTCCGTCTCTTGTGGCAAAATAATGTTTTATACAAATAGGTCACCTAGTTTACTTTGGACACAAAGACAAGAACTGGAACGAGGGAGACAGGTGAGCCACGACGGGCTGGGCCTGAGCCCCGCCAGCCCCTCCCAGGAGACCTGGGCAGTAGGCCAGCCTCTGCTCCACTGTGTAAATGCCGGTATGTCGGAGGAGATGCAACAGGACTCTGTGGAATGTGCTACTCAGGAGTTGGAGAAACAGAACAGAGAAGGGTACTGCGGCCCACGCAGAGGAGTCTGAGAAGCGCTCTCCCTCTTGGGAACATACCCGCACCTTTCCCTCCCCCCTCTTCTATTGTCTTTTTTTCCCCTTATTGAATTAATTGGGTGGCACTGGATAACAAAATTACACAGGTTTCAGGCGCACAGCGCCACAACACACCATCTGTGCACCCCTTTCCCCATCTGCCCCCTCCAAGCACGCTACCTTTGCCTTTCTCTCTCCTAAGCTCCAAGCGCCCTGCTTCAGTCTCTGTAACTTGTTTTTTTGCTCACACAACCCAGCTGGCTTACTTCTACCTCTGTAATGCTAAATAAACTTTCCGTTATAATTTGAAAAAAAAAGAGGGGCGTGTGACAAGAAGTACAACCCCACCTGGCACTGCATCGTGGGGAGGAATTTTGGTAGTTACGTGACACATGAAACCAAACACTTCATCTACTTCTACCTGGGCCAAGCAGCCATTCATCTGGTCAAATCTAGTTAAAAGCAGGGACTGTACCACACCCTCAGTGATCCATCCAAAAATAAGGACTGCAGCCTAAATTCCAAATACCAGAGACTGAAATCTTCAGCACTGCCTAAAGGAACAGCTTGATCTTCTACCTTTATTGTTTGTACAAGGCATTCTCTGTATTCATTTGTTGGTTATAAAACTATTAGCAAAACAGAAAAAAAAAAACCGAATGAGGACCTTAGGTGAAGGGGAAAGAGGAGGAAGGGCAGATCAGGTCATTGATGTTTCTTATATTCTGAGAAAAATAGATTTACAGGAAAAAAATAGACTCTCACAACTTCAATGACTTTACATGATCCTTTGTAAAACAAGGGGTAAATCCACCTTGTGGTCAAGATGTTCACTAACATGGAATGTAACATGATGGTTCAACGATTTGGCTCCCACACCAGGGACAGGAGCACCCTCTGTGTCAGGAAGCCTCATGCGCTGGCAGGGAGTCTGCGCTATGATTTTTAGGACAGACGGTCCCCATTCCCCAGACCTGGTGATAATGACCACCAGAAGAAAGTGAATTTACAGAGGAAAAAGAATACCCTGGGAGCTAACCAGGGTGGCAGGACACACTAAGGTAAGACTCATCCTATTTGCACATTAGGCACAGCCTATTAACTCCACTCCACAAATGAGTTCCACTTCAAGTACACAAAGAAGTTGAAGATTCCCTAGTCTCTGCCATTTCGAGAATTACTAGTCAATGGTAAGACCCCCACATTCCCAAATCACTGCCCTTACTTGGGAATCGGATGGCCCAAACACGGGGGCTGTCTTCAGGCAGTACTATCTGCCCCTGAAACCTGCTTTCTCTGCAAGATAATTTTGAGCTAACACATGTTGTTATTTCCTGTTTGTTCGTTAGAACACAGAATAAAGTAAACCAGGATTGTCTTTGGAGAAGCTAGGAGGGCATCTTGGCCCAAAGGCTTCACAGGAAAAGGCTCTCTCCCAGGAGGTTCCAAGGCAGAGGGACAAGAGCAAAACAAGCGAGGAAGGGGTATAGGCAGCAGGCCCCGTGGTCCCAGGCGGGCCCGCTGGCTGCTGGAATCGCTCCCTCCAGGAGCTGCCTCTCAGACGCCAGCTCTGAAAAAAAGAGTGTGGGCTCCCAAGCAGGCAGTTTTTTCCTCCCATTGTATCACCCAAATAATGGCTACCAACAGTCCAGATTCCTTACTAACATGGCTTCCTGTTTTGATTCTACTTTTGATTGGTTTAGACACTCAGAGAAAGCATGACTTCCAATTCTCTTCCCAATTCAGGTACAAAATTTCAAACTCACCCTGGTTAACATCCTAGAGTGGTGTTAACCACTCTAGATTTCCTGAGTAGCTGGACACGAGAATCCAGAGTCTCAGGTACAGACACCAGACCTTCAGCTGCAGAAGATGGCAAACCCCTGTCCCACTGGGCAGTTCGAGCGCTTGGCCTCAAAAAGGCCTCCAGCGAGACTAAAGCAAGCCAAAGGGGAAGAGGACACCACGCCCCCTCAAGCCAGAGCGCCTGCCTCCTCTGCCCTGCTGGTCTTCCTCCTCACAAAAGCTAACACTGCAAGGAAGAGCCCAGAGTATACAAGACAGTCTGCCCTGGGACACGTTTTCAAGACACACTACTGAGCAGAGCGCTGGGCAGCTCCAGAAACCAAATCCTGTATGCTAGATAAATATCAAATAGTAGAAACTCTCCCGATCAGGCCTCTGTCACAGATGGGGGTTATTCTGGAGCTTGACAGGAACAGTGCGCTAGAGGAGCCACGGTGAGAAACGGGACAGGAGCAGTGCTGTTGCCTGCCTGCCGGTGGGGCAGGAGTGAGGACGGAGCAGCCCTCCCCAGCAGCGGATGGGACAGAGCCCCATGTAAGGCACCTGGATTTGCAGTCGGCTCCAGCTCTGAGATGTGCCCCGGTCTGCCGGGTGCCTGGTGCCTTCCTTCCCTCAGTGGCTGGGTCCAGTGCTGGCACACAGGGCTAATCTCACTGAGAAAGCCATCAGCACTTGGCGCAGCCCAGGCTCTGGCCTGGCTCAAAGCACTGGGCTGAGGTTCAAGACCACTCACGTTCTAGAATCCAAACCAGAAGCAACACTGGTCAGTGAACATACAGGGGCTCTGTGGCCAAGTGCTGGCCCTTCTTTCCCTGGCCCCACACGGCCTTCCTCCCAAGCATTTTGAGAAACAGCTCTCCTGTCACTGTCACTATATTGGCAACAGTGACTATTACCACATACCTAGGACCTTCCTACAGTTATTGATACCTTCCTATCAATGCTAAATCCTGGCCACAGCAACAATCTTCAGGGGGTTTGGGCTGACCGCCTAAAGCCAACACAGTCAGACAACCTCTGGGAGAGGAGGTGAGGGTCTACCCAATGAGGGCTTGAGGATAAAAGTGGTAGGCTGTGCAAGGAAGGCTTTGATTCAAACAGCTGAGATAGGCTGAGGGCCTCACACCCAAAACGTTTGGAAGGATCAGATATGCACTATTTAGATCTGACCTGCCAGGATGTTTCCATAAACTGCTTCAGTAGAAAGGCAGATAGAAAAATCCTCTTAAGGAAGAAATCTACAAAGTTTTAGAGGCAAAACTGTCAAAAACCAATCCTTCAGGTGATGCTGTGCAGAGAAAAATGCCTCCTTTACGCAGCTGCCGGTTCACAACTATACCAGCCCCGACTTGAGCCAGATTCACCCTGAGAGCCTGAACTGTACTATCAGAAGTCTAACTGCACGTCACACACTCTGGGAACACCACTGACATTTTATAAAACCTCCCAAAAGGAAGCCTGAAAATCTCAAAAAAAAAAAAAATACAATGACTTCTGCTCTGGCCTTGAGAGATACTACTGTTCCAAGAGCAAAACCGACACATTCTATTTCAAAAGATGCTCAAAAGTTAGGAGCCAAGAGAATCAGAGCAAGCTCATTTCTCCTCCAGGACGAGCACAGGAAGGCACTGCCTGGCTGCAACCTTGCTGGAGCCCCAGGGGGACAGGCCGGGATTGTGGAAGTCAGACAGATAAGCAGGCCTCTCCAGAAAACGGATCTTTCAGTCCGGGCAGCCTCACCCAGCCAGAGTGCCTCACCTGTTGGTACCACTCCTCTCCTCAACCCTTTTCAAGTTTCTTTCCACTTGGTTTACAACTACGCACAGGCTGAGGTCAGATTGTGCTGATGGCAACACTGGAAATAAGAGGAGATGCCTGGGAGAGGCTGACCTTGCCGCTTCCCACGGCACGCAGGGGCCTACAGAAGAGCGATGAACCTGCAGGGAGGTCAGCCAGAGCCTCCTCACCCGGACACAGAGACCCAGGCTCGTCAGGACAACCAGACAGCAGCTATGACTACATGAAAATAAACTTCCCTTTTTATCTGGATTCCAGGAGCCCTATCCTAATCTTTTACTTTACTATATAGTACCTCTGTGACCTAAGGGGCAGGAGAAAGGGAAGAAAAATACTGGGGAAGGACAAGCAGCACTGCTTGGCACCTCTCTTGGAGCACAGGAAACTGCCACCCCAGCCTTGGCTTCCTGGGAACAGGGTCCAGGTGTGTGTTGACATACAGCAGCTTTAACCACTTCCGTGTGCCAGGACCATGGGCTGCAACGAAGCACCTCCCCTGTCCAGTCCCACAGCCGTTACTGGCCTCCATTATAGGCGTAATCAGCCTTGTTGTGCATGATCAGCTTGTTGTCAACAAAGTAGAAGCTGTCAGAACGGGTCTCGTAGGGATTTTCAATCATCAGGCGAACTGTGAGTCATGAAAGGGAAAAAAGCAAAGACTTAATGTGTGAGTCTGCCTCCTGGGCTAGGTGGAAAAAAACTCAGTATTCCCTCTAAAATTCATAAGTTGGTCCTTCCAGATAATGTGAGTACACTCTCCCAGAATAATGAGCTCAGAACAGAGGGAGTGAGCCCTTGAGAGCTGGAGAAAACTGGGGACCACAGAGGCCTCAAAACTCAACAAGGCCTTGGCTGGGTAGCTCAGTTGGTTAAAGTGTTGTCCCGATAGGCCAAGGTTGCAGGTTCAATCCTGGGTCAGGCCACACACAAGAAATAACCAACAAATTCATAAATAAGTGGAACAACGCAGTGATGTTTCTTCCCCCCACCCCTCTCAAATCAGTAAGTTTTTTAAAAACATGATACCTACTTAAACACAGACACAATGAACTCTCTGACCTTGGTCATCCCCAGCCTGGATTGAGTCAGCACCCAAGGGAATGAGCTTACCCTTTTGCCAACATGGACCACAGCAACTTATTTACTCAGTGCTTCGGGTCTATTCTCCTAAACATTCTGGTACAAATACAGAAAGCTGTGCCTCACTATGCCACTGCCCGTGGGCACGCCAGCAACCAGAAGAATCCTGGGTAAACATGAGTGCAGGGGGAGAAAAGGCAAGGAGCCTTTTCCAGAAACGGCTCAGGGTATTAACCTGTCCTGAGATCCAGATTTAAACCTGTTTGTTCAGGCAATTGTCCAGACCTCTTTAACCAAGCTAGAAAGTCAAAGTAATTAACCAGTCATTAACCTCTGACCAGTTTGGAGTTAATTATTACTTGCTATTTTGAGCCCTCTGGAGGAAATGTTATTTTTCACCACAATTCTTAAAAGGTAAAACTAATTGTTTAAATTTCTTTGAACCTATCTGGGCTGAAGTTATTTGCTTTATTTGCAAAATGATGACCTTTATACTCTTTTTGCCTATTTGGTTCCAAGAGGAAAAGTTACATTGCCTTGTGAAACTTGAATATACATAATGTCTTCTTGCAAGTATCTACAGATTCCAGCCCATTTTAGGGAGCAGGTTTCAAACCAAGATCCAATGCTGTCGTACACACCCTGCCCCACATCTCAGCCACCCTCATTTTACCCAGGAACAGCACTGCCACATGAGTAAAGAGTACCTGGTTGTCAGAATTTTAAGGACCTTACCACTCTGAAAAAGTTTAAGGATCCAAGCAAATTGAACTACTATACACAGATCCCACTCACATCCTCATTGTTCTGGAGCAATTTTCCCTAATTACTAAATGAGGAAGTAGACCTGAGAGAGCTAGACCAAAGTCATAGAAACTGAAAAAGCCTGTACTGTGCTAGCTGGTGGCTCAGTGGACTGAGCACAGGCTTACAGACCAACAGTTGCAGGTTCGATTCCCAGTTAGGGCACATGCCTAGGTTGTGGGTCAGGTCCCCAGTTTGGGGCGTGGAGGCAACTGATTGCTGTTTCCCTCTTTTTCTCCCTCCTTTCCTTCACTCTAAAAATAAATAAATAAAATCTTAAAAAATAAAACAAAAAAACCAAGCCTGTTCTTCCCCTCTCATAGGTCCATCTCTTCCCTTGCCTCAGCTACTCTCTCTGGTGCCTTCCCCAGTTCTTACTCAATCCATCTGCACGATTTCTCTTCCTAAGACATTGCTTCCACCGTGCTACTCCTGCTCCAAAACCTCTAACAGCTCCCTGTTTCCTGCTGGCTCTATTCTAACAGTCTCCTACTTGCAGAGAACGAGCAAGAGCAGGTCCTCAGACCTACGATTCTATTTAGTGGAGCCCACAGTTTCATGTGTAGCTGTGATTAAGGAAAAAGTGAGAGTGCCAAGCAGACGTCGAAAACACAGTGGGAAACCGTGACTAAGAGGAGATAGGAGAGGCACTTTACCTAACCAGAGTCCCAGGGACTGTCACGGGCCTACTCTTATCTCCCTCAGCCACGCCCTTTCCCGCAGCAGGCATCTAAAAGGGATGTCCTGTATTATTAAAACCTTCCATGCTCCCATACAGGCAGTGACAGGAGCAACAGGAAATGAGAAGCCTACGGTCAAATGACTAGAGATGCATCATGTCACTGTTTCCCTCCTCTGCAAAATGAGGGCATTGGACCAGATGGATTTCAAGGGTCGTTCCTTCTAGCCCAAGAATCTAGAATGCTATACAAGTCAGGGGATACGTACTGACATCCTCAGAAAGCTGGGGAAACTCATAGATATGTTCACAAGTGTTCCTGCTGCTGGGGATGCAGAAGCCGAAATCAAAGTCAAAGTTTTTCAGCAAGCGCTCCCGGAAATAGTGCCGTTCGATCATCCGGAAGTTTGACACAGGTTTGTCTCCCACAGTGAACTCCACCCTGCAAAATAAATCTCTGTGAGTCCTACTCTGTCCTCGCCCTCCTCTGAAGCTAACCCAACTGAGAACATTCTTCTCTGTAAACAAGCAGATGTTCTCCCCTCAGGAAATGCTGGTACTCACGTAGCCCCGACTGTCCGGAGCCGGAGGAATGCTGGTGTGAACTGATATCGGACGAAACGTCCTGCACTGATATCCACATCTCCACCTTCCTCCTCTTCCTCCTCCTCTTGGTCTGAAAGTGCATAGAGAGGCTTAAGTGCACCATCTCAGCACCACCAGTCCAAACAGCACAATCAATTAACAGTACTAACACCAACAGCAGGACGGCAGATATTTGCTGTGCTCTTGTTATGTGCTAGTCCTGTGCTAAATGTCACAGAGAATCCTCACAACTGCCCTGTGAGATGTTACTATTATCTCCATTTTACAGATCAGGAAGCTCAGGTCCAGAGAGGTTAAGTAACATGTCCAAAGTCCCCCAAATAAGGAGCAGAGGTTTGAATCCAGGTCCCTCGGACTGAAACCCTGTTGACCAAATTGATGTGCTGGCCACTAACCAAAAGAATGAGACTACAAAAGTGGAAACTATTCAAAAGGCTGCTTCAGAGAGCACAGAAATTCCTGACAGGCAGCAAAGGCAAACCCCTAGAAAGTTTTGTTCTTTAAATGGAAGACACTGGCCTGCAGCCTAGCAGCACTGTAGTTCCTTGGACTAATGCCTATTCCAGGCCACACCAGACCCAACACTGACCTGGGAAAGGCCGGCAATGAATCGATGTGTGGGACCTGAATGGGGGTCCACGAGGGTAATGATGGTCTCTTGTCTAGTCCACTCCTGAACCGAGGAAATGAAAGATTTGTAAAATCAATCAGAAAACCATTCCAATGTGAACAAAGAGATAGTTCCCTCTAGTGTCCATCCAGTGTCCAGGAAGGATATTTTCTCTAGGTCTAGGCTGAACACGGGTACAACATAAGAGTGTTTTTTAAACATCGAACATTGAACACAGGCACAGGCCTGTGACAAGCCCAAAAGCAACTGGGCCACCAGCCTGAGTAGGGTTTCTACCCAGACTCTAGAGCCCTGGCTCCAACCATGTGATCCAGAGAGTCAGACCAAATCTTAGAACAAGCCCATCTGGAGGGTACTGACTCATTGTGAGCAGACTCCAAGTGAGTCAAGATCCTTAAAGCTAAAGACTGAACAGGTTAAAAAGCGAAGTACAGTTATAGTACCTGAAGCTGACATTCCTGAGACAGTTCAGTTTTGTACTGAAATGACTACTCTGGGCCCAGTTTAATTCAAATCCATACACATAAAGTAGTCCCAGGGTCCCGGAAACATCCTAAGAACTAAGACATGTGGCTTTGGGATGTGAACTCCACAGACCCAGGAAACTAGCTGGCCCTGACCCTCCCAAACTAAGTACCCACAAGTTTGAGCCTTCATGTGCCTTGGCCAGTACAAGATTATGGCAGCATAAAGAATACTGGGTAGGGTGAGACCAGGGCTCTAACCTTGACGATGCAATGAGCCTGAGCTGAGACTTTCTCAAGAAAGTCTTCTGACCTGCCAAATTTACAGGCTCTTTCTGAGTAGCAAGCAAACCAGGTGAGAAAAGCTCTGCAGAAAGACTTGCTAATACAGCCCACGGTTGATACTCTGAAGGGTTATCTGTGCTGGTGTTCTAATGACTAACTCCAGGGGGTGCTAAATCTCCAGCGATGTGCTCCAAAGACAGTGTGGTCCAGTGGCCAGAAATGAATCACCCTGCAACTGCATCACAAGCTCAGGAAGCATCTATTCAAGGCCAATTTAAGGAATCCCAAGTAGATGAGTTCATAGACTTGGGCTTTCAGTTCTCCCAGAAGACGGTGATTAAAATCCAAACCAGGACTTACTGAGAAATATGAGACTCTGTTTAAAGAAAAGAGTGAGAAACCAGGTGAAGCTGCCTCACAATCTGGACTGGAATCCTCCATATCACCTTTCTAGAGTATCCCCATGACTCAAGACTCAGGTGAGCTGCTCTCATTACAGTTTAATTTCAAGGATTCCTTTCCTAAGTGAAGGAAGGCAATATGGTAAGATGAAAGAGTACAGGACCTTAGGAAAGTCACTTGGAAATTCGGGGCCTCAGTTTCCTTTATCTGTTAAATGAAGATAATAACTCCTCCCAGAGGCGTGAGTATTACAGGAACTGGTGTAAACAGAAACCTGTGGAACACAGTAACCAGCACCAACAGCAGCCTCTCAACACAGCTTCAAACCAGCAATTCCGGCAGGCCCGGCTTTAGGAAGAGGTCACAGAGTAAGGCACACTGAGCCCATGACACGGATGCAATGGCACACAAAAATTCAAAGGGCCTGTGACTGTTACAGTACAGAGACCTACCTGAAACACATGGTTTGGCAATCTCAAAAAGCACTGTCCCTGTCTCCAAATCTCGAATTTTGAAGCGGGTGAAATCAATACTGTAGATGTTGTCTTCAGGTTTACATAAATAATCTGAAAATGAGAGCGAGAAAGACCAATACCATTAAATAATTCTCCAAAACTACCATTCATTCATTTCTCAAGTTCTGAAGCAAACTCAGGTATTTTTTTCTTATACAATTCACTCGAAATATAAAAAAAAAAAATACTTCTTCTTTTGTTATAAGCAAAAGTTGTATGTGAAGAGAACTAGGAAATCCAAGAAATAAAAAAAAGACCATGGACATGGTATGGATGAAAGAGTATCATAGCACTTTTAAAAACAGAAATAAAAAAAGATTTCTTTGGAAACACCTCAAAAATGGCCTACAAACTATTCACGATCTATCAACTTGGATGTCACAAAAGAACCAAATTTTTTTTTTTAATTCATTTAAAAATACCTATGCTGATCTTATGGCTAATACAGCACTTGGTTACCAAAGTGTCACAATGTAGAGATCAGTAAACTTGTTCTGTAATGGGCCAGGTCGTAAATAATTTAGGCTTTGCAGCCACTCAGTCTCTGTCACAACTACTCAGCTCTGTCTCTGTGGTGCAAAAACATCCAGCGTTCCCTTCAGCCCACAGACAACACATAAATGAATGAGCATGGCTGTATTGTAATAAAACTGTTTATGGACATTCATATATGAATTTTACATAACCACATGTTGCAAGATATTCCTCTTCTCCCCAACTATTTAAAAATGGCAGAACCATTCTTAGCTTGTGGGTTGTACAAAATCAGGTGCCAGGTGGCGGGCCATACCTCCACAGGCAGCAAGACAGATCTGGCGGTGAGAGGGCATGAGGCCGAAGTGAAGTAAGGCCCACAACAAACTGAGCAGCTAATCAAGAGTATCTATCAATCAGAGACCATCTACTGATTTCCTTCTGCAATAACTCCTGACGGCATCTCTTCCACCTTATTCTGGCACTTTATTTTACTTTGTCTGTTTGGGTTAGTTGCTTCATGTTTTACCAGCTGTCTCTCCAGTAAGAGCGCAAACTTGGGAGCTACTGATTATTCTGTAACTCCTAAGAAGGCTGAAATTGGTTCTGTGCTTTTAGAGGATGCTCACGAAATAACCTGCTGCCCTGACTGGTGGAGCTCAGGGACTGGGCCTTGTCCCACCAACCCAAAGGTCACTGGTTAGCTTCCCGGGGTCAGGTCACAGGCCTGGGTCGTGGGCAGGGTCCCCAGTTGGGAGCATGAGAAGCACATCAATGTTTCTCTCCCTCTTTCCCTCTCTTTAAAAATAAATCAAATCTTTAAGAATAAATAAATAACTTGCTGTACGAGAACAGGCTTTAAGAAGAGTAAAAAACTCCAAAGGTCACCAAGCTCTGACCTTGGGTGGACCTGTGGCTTTCTCCAGGAAGCCGCAGAGCACCAACCCCAAGCTCCTACACAGGACCTGAGTGCCTGCCTACCAAGAATGCTGCCTAAGGCCAGACATGGTAATGGCCTAATTCACCCTTGACATTAGGATAAAGCATGAGGTTAGAAAGACCAGGTGATGAGCACTTCTGTACCTTCAGAGTCAGAACAGAAGCAGCTTTCTCACAAAGTTTCAATGAATGTGAACAGCAAGACCTTCCAAAGATATACTCAGGTATGCAAAGGACAGTCCCAACCCAAACAGTGATGAAAAATGGGGAATCAAAATATCCAGAATCAAATTAAAACTGTTTTAGGAGATGAGCATTTCCTGTTATACAATCTGGACCAAGGCCCACCCCACACCCCCAAACTCCCACCCCCAAATCACTGGCGCAGCCACCTGCTGCCCAGGGTAATCAATCCTAAGCAGGCGCCCCCTCCGCTCCCCTCACCCAACCGCCCCCCCCTCGGCCCCGCGCTGACCGCGAAAGCAATTCAGCGGGTAGCAGCACTAGGGCAGCCTCAGACCCATGAAGGGAGAGCTGGTGTTGCAGGGTTAGAAGGCTGGAGAGCAGGGGGGATAAGCAGGGCCTAACCAGGTGCCTGTAAACTCTTGGGGGGAAGTAACAACAGAAGGGACGTCAGGTCAGCGCTTGGCTTGGAGAACAGAGAAAGGGGAGGAGAGATCCAGCTTAGGGGTGGGCAATGTATTTCTTCCCGCCCTTCCTGAAATCAATGGAAAGGTGTAGGACAGTTGCCTTTTATGCCAGAAACGCATTTCTGAAACCTGACGTAATTCTGAATTCACTCGAACAGGTGTCAAAAACAGGATTCACATTTAAGATGTTGTACATAAACTGAAACTTTATTATTTTTAAACGTGGCACTTTTAAATTTGCATGAAATGCTCCGGCAAGGTGTTTGAGGAAGGAAGAGCCCACCAGCACACAAAGCGGCAACGCTTGGGGCCAAAAGGGGTGGGGGGCCAAGACGGGCAGGGAAGGGGGAGGGGCTGTCAGGGGCCGCGTGGAGGGAAACGCAGAGAAAGCAGGTAGGCTCTGGGCTGCAGGAGCTGCGAGGAGACGGTGAGGCGGCGCGGCTGAGCGGGAACTTCACTGACGGCTGGGGGGCTTCCAGAATGAGGTCTGGAGGATGGGATTAAGCTAAGGGGCCGCCTACCCAAGCAAGTCCAGCTGAGAAGGGGAACGGCCCAGCCTGCGGGCAGCCTGTTGCGGGCAGATTCTGGGGAATGCAGTCAAGCTCAAGAGGAATCCCTTCCCAACCCTGTCTAGATGGCGGTGGGGAGCGCGGGCCCGACCCGACGGCGCTGCGGGCAGCGCGGCCTGGCGGGCCGGAGAGGGAAAGGTGGCAGGGCGGACCCCGGGCCGGCGAGCGGCGAGCGCCCGGCTGCGCTGCAAGCTGCAAGCTGCAAGGGGCCCGCGTCCCGGCGCGAGGGGAGGGCGCGGCCGGCCCCGCACTCACTCTCGGTGACCCGGCTGAGGCGCAGGACGTGCTCGGGCCGGATGGCGTCCAGGGCCAGCAGCTCCTGCTCCGTGACCGCTGCCCCGAGGCCGTCGTCGGCTGCGTAGTGAGGCGCCTGCCGCCGCGCCTTGAGCCGATTCAGGACGCCGCCGCCCGCCTTCTTCTTATCGTCTTTGCCAGCCACCAGCCCTCGGGCCCCAGCCGTCGACCCCGCGCCCGCCGCCTTCGGGTTCGACCCGCTCATCGCTCCGCCGCCAAGATGGCCGCCGCCTCCACGGCGCCGTAACTATGGAGAGCGGGGGCGGGGCCGGGCGCGGTCCCCGGGGAGGGGCGAGGCGGGGCCTGTGGGGCCGCCCTCCACCAGTTGTGATCCAGCCGGGCGGTGGGCGCTAAGCGTGTGTACGAATTTAGTGACCCTGTAGACTATCAGGCCCCCAAAGTCACCCCAAATGTTATTTTAAAATACCTCGTACAGTCAAATGACCGCCATGTAAGTTGCAGACAAGGCCTCTTGAGAAAATGTTTTTAAATCTGCAGCACACAAAAGTTTTAACAGTGCTTGCTATGCCGAAGCAGCTTTCCAATTAGATTGTCACTTCCAAACCCTACTGTGCCAGACTTCTGGCTAGACACTGGGCCGGGGTACAGGGAATATAAAATGAGAGCGGTTAGGGATTTGGGTCTGCTTTATTCACCACTGTGTGGGGTAGTGGGTCCCCAATAGTATTATTGATTGGATGAATGAATGAATGAATGAGTGAAGGAAAGCCTGAACAGTAGCCTGCTATAGAGGAGTTCCGTTTGTTGGGGGAGGGCTGTGAAGTACATAATTATTATGTGGCCCTCCCTCTTGACCAGCCCAGTAAGTATGAACCAGAGGACAAACGAGAGTGCTGACAGCTGTAAAGGTACACACAGCAAAGGTGCTGCCTGAGTGCACAGGAGGGGGCTGGGAGATCAGGAAGAGGCTTCACAGAAGCGACCTCTGCATTGAACCTTGGAAGTTAACCATGATTTCACCAACTGGAGAAGGTGGGTGGTGGTGGAGGGAAGGCTGCCCTCTTACAGCCCAAGAGGCTCCTTCTCTCGGAATTCTGGATCCACACTTCTGTGTTCGAGGCCTGGGCCAGACGGATGCAGTGTGTCTGCCAGGCCTCGTTTCTCCTCCCGGTCAGACAGGCCAGAGTGAAACTCTCCCCTCTCCTCCGTGGTCAGCCTCAAGACTCCCTGGGTCCCTCTCACCTGATGGGAGGAGCTTGGGAGGGGGTGACAGGCCTGGCCTGGTTCCTGGACAAAATCCAAACTTGACTCCGCTCCAATTGCCCAGCCTGGTGGGACAGTAAGTGGCCAAGTTACTACCTAAATGCTGTCCTGTCTTTGAGAGACTACCACTGGGTGGCACTTACCAAATTGTTCAGGGAAATTTTAGCAGATGTATACAAAGAATTGAAGTCTTTCCCTTTGCAAACAACTCTTTTTAAACCACTCAGCAGTGAGTAGTTACTGAAGAATTTTCAAAACGTTTGATATGCTGCTTGACTGTGAATCACCAAGAGGGGGGTTTCTGTAGCAGCCCCTTCCCACTCATTTGCTCACTGGACCTTTTTCCTCAGGCCACCAGGACTAGAGTTGCCTGGACCCCAGCTTTTCTCTTTCTAGGAAAGATAACAAAAGTATTAATCCGTGTACCTGCAATTCCACATCCAGGAACTTAGTCTACATGGAAGCACAAAGATTTTTACTGCAGGACCATTTGTAACATTTAAAAAGTTATCATAAATTACAGTTGTATTCAAGGTGTGTACCTGTTAAAAGAATGAGACTCATCTATATGGACTAGCATGGAGAGATCTCAAAGATATACTAAGAGGGGCAGGAAAACAGAATCCCATTTATTTAAAATAAAAAGCATATATACAGATGTGTATTTGGAACTGCAAAGGAAGGGGTTTAGATATACATGAGAGTGTTCAGCATGGTTCCCTCTAGGAAGGAGAGTATTAGAAGGTTGGAAGGGACTAAAGGGGGATCAGTTCACTTGACACTATTTAGAGCTACTTCTGTACTATTTTATCACAAGCATATGACTGAGGGATGCCTGTGTATTTATGTATGTAAAAAAAATCTTCGGGTCTATTTCTGGAAGGCAGAGGCGAAGCCAAAGCAGCCTTATTTTCTCTTAAAATTAAAAGCAACCTCAATCTCAATCACTTTTTTCTGTTCAAAGAAAAAAATAAATAAATAGTGCCCTCTAAGGAGCTTAGGGCCTGTACTCTCCTTACCCACAAATTGTGGTTAAAAGGAAAAGACTCTGCCTTTAAGAAAACAGAATACACACAAAAAGAGAAAATATATTTATATGTCACTTTTTTAAAAAGGAGTAGGAAAAATTAGGACTGTAACTTCCAATCTTCCTAAGTTATGTCAAAAAGGCTGTTTTTAAAAAAAGGTTTTTTTTATGCAGCACTTAATCATTTGACAACATTGTGGATGACCTGGAAGACAAATCATATACGTTGTAAACTTGTAAATCAAGAAATAAAGATGAAAAAGAATGCAAAAAATAAAACTTTTGAAAAAGTACATATACTAACACCCCATTTGAGGGAAAAAGGAAAACTGAGATTGACCACAGGAAACAATGGCCCAAGGTGCCCACGGGCTGGACCTGGGAGGCCGGGGGGAGAAAGGATGGCATCACTTGTACTGTGGCTGGGTGCTGTGCAAGTCCCTCTCCTCCACCGGTTGTTTGGTCCCTGTAAGAGGTGTGATGGTGCCTGTTTTCCAGGGCAGTCCCAGGCCAGCCAGGCAGCCGGCCTCAGATCGGGCCAGGCAGGTGAGGCCTGCAGCTGGTGCAGCCAAGGTAAGCAAGGTATCAGAGGGCTTTTTCTGCAGAGGCTGGACATTTCAGCCATCCCTCCGCCTGCTGCCCTGCAGGTGGCACACGTGGCACCAGCGACTCCTGGCTGGGACTGCAGGCGTGCCTTGTGGTCTAGGTCTGAGAGCTAATAATCTCCCTAGTGCCCAAGTCACTTCTTTCCCTGGCTGAGGGCTGTTTTGAAAAAGCATGAATTTATTATTTATATCCCACCTGTTTCCAGAAAGGATTTCTGGCATATTCCAAAGTCATATAGCACAAGACTGCTGAGTGAAAATTCATGTAGCCTTGTCAAGGGCAGTACTTCCAAAATTTTAAATGAATATACTGTCTGGTCCAGTAATTCCTTCCTTAACGGAATTCTAAAGAAACACTTGCACATGTGCACAATAAATACGTGTTTAAATATATATCAATGTGTGTATATACAAAAGATGCACATCAAACTTACCTGTATTATCTCCCAGAGATTACAATAGTAGAAATGAGAAAGATGAGTTTTCACATTTTGCATCCCATATAAATTTTTTTCTGAATATACTTACGCATTTTGTACCACTAATTCTTAAAAGGTCACTTTCATTTTCAGAGCAAGAAAAATAGAATAAGCCTCCAGGTAAACGTCACCCAGCATCATCAGTTACCTACACTCAAAAGGTTCCTTTCTAAAAAGGACACGTTGTGGGACGAAGAGCACAGGCTTTGCTCAGTTAGACAGAACTGAGCTCCAGTCCTCAGTCTGTCACTTACCAGCCATGGGACCCTGGGCAGGTCATTTATCCCCTCTGAGCCCCTGCCTCTTCATTTGTAAGTCGGGCTAGTCACACGTCTTCCCTAGGGGTGTGAAGGGGATAAATGACCAATAAAAGCCCCAGGCTGGTGCCAGGGACAGTGTCTCATGAATGGTCATGAAGGCAATGTATTTAAGGGGCCTCTTTCCCCAGGGCCCCTCTGCTGAGGGCCGGCACACTGGGCAGGGAGAAGCCATAGGGCCAGACTGGAAAGTACAGCGACTGAGAAGGATGCTCAGGTCAGAGCTGAGAGGAAACAAGCTGGGGACCAGGCCCTGAGGAAGCAACAGACGGATTCGAGGAGCTGTGAGGGAACCAGGAGAGCATGTTTTAGTACAAGGCCAAAGCCAAAAAGCAAGTGTGGTTATTTTTTCCTAATGCGATTGGCTAGAGACAGACAAAATGCAGTCAATTCTTGGACCAGAGTAGCAGTGAGGTGCCTTTCAACTCAGGTTGCTGGAGAGCAGAGGCAAGCGCGCTCCCAAACCTTCCTGCTCCTCCTCCTCCTCTCCTTGACCCCTCGCCACCGCGACAGCAAGAGCTTTCCAGTAAATGTTGGAAGAATTCATCTCTCTTCCTCTTCGGGGGATGTAGGGCGGGGGGCGGGATGCTAAGTATGAAGAAAGGTCCGACACACCGGCTCCAGCCAACCGGGAGCCTGATTTCCTCAGCGAGATTAAGATCTGGACCCAAGGAGTGGTTTAACCCAACCCCCGGCATCTGGCCCAAGATCTGCTGTCAGACAATTTCCCTGCCTGCAACTCCCTGGAGCAGGGCTTCTTCAGGTCTCTTCCCCAGTTGGCAGCTCACGCAAAGCTACTTGAAATAGCAACAGCTAAGTCTGAATTAGTAAAGAACTCCAGTTATGGGTGGGCTCACGCTAAGAAAGAGGCTCTGTGGGCCTTCTGGCTTATTCGGGCCCTGAGAACAGACTCCATCAACACTGGCCTCATTCTTAGGGCTGAGCACTGAATTCTGCCCTTCAAGGGATAACGGAGGGAGGCAGGCCAAGCTCTTCCTCCGTCTCCCAAAACCAGCAGCCTCCGTTCCTTCCTGGAGAAAGAGCGCAGGTAGGCTCTGGGGCCGTGTCAGAGCATCATGGGGAGGCAGGAGGCAGCAGAGAGCAATGACTAAGAGGAATCTTGAGTACAGTCCCAGCTCTGCCTTCCAGCTGTGTGGCCTTGGGCAAGCAACGTCACCTCTGAAAGGCTAATCCCACCTGGTTTGTTGAAGATCAAACGGGTAACATCTGTAAAAGTGGCGCTTCTGCCTACTCATTCCGAGGACTCAGTGAAGGATATCCATAATTATTCTTCTTTTTACAGCTTTAGAAAGAACAAGGGCTTCGCAGGCAGATAGACTAGGGGCAAGGCCTGGCTTGACCATTCCCTGACTAGCCTGGGATAATCGCCTGAAGCTTTCGGAGTTTCTGTTCCTCCGCTTACAACACGGCAGATAAATTACAGGCGGAAAAAGGCTCCGTGCTCTTTCGGCCGCTCCCCAATGTATACTCAACGCTGGCAACAGACCAGAAAAGGAGAAGGCAGAGAAAACTGCCCCATGGCTTAGCGTGTCCACAGGCTGCGGTGGAAGCTGAGGGAAACACGAGTGGAGGGCCTCAGAGTGCGTCGGTCACGTGAAAGTGGAAACAAAACAAAACGTGTATTTTTCCTTGAATGTACTGTTGGTTGGGCTGGCCAGGCATGGTTTCACAGAGCTTTACTTCCTTAGCCAAACACCCCAGCAAGAAGAAAAGCAAGAGATAGGTGGCTAAATGCACAGGAGTTCCTAGACCCGTCACAGAACCCTGTGCCAGGCGATGCCTGGGTCTGCCTTTTCCCACCCCCCACCTCACCTCTTTGCAATCAAGTTCAAACTCAATCCCAACACAAAGTGTCACTGCAAATTGTTTATTAAAACACAAAGCAATGGACAGTGAAAAACATCCTGATTTTTTTTTTCTTTTTGGTGGGAGTAGGGTGGGGCAGGGAAGGGGTAAGGACAGGTGGAGACAGCCCAGAAGGAGACAGCTCGATCCACCCCTACTGCTTTCCTGGGCCAGCCAGGGTCAAAGCCCCTCGATCGCATCTCACTGTGCCGCTGTAAATGCACGTTGTGGCTACAGAGTTGGTTTCACCTCCGCAGGAAGAGGATGGGAACCTGGAGTAGGAACTACAAAGGGCTACTAAGAACTAGACACTATCCTCCAGTACTTGGTACAGAACAGAGCAGCCAGGACCAATCTGGAGGGGTGGGGTTGGCTCCGCGACAAGCCGGGTGAATGGCTGAAGAGGCTGCCCTGAACTCGGAACGGGCAGCCGGTCCTAGCGCGGGAGAACTTGGCGGAAGAAAAACCCAAGGAGGAAACTAACCCAGGGTCAAATTTCTTTTCATTCCCTGGATCATGACACATCAGGGAAGAAGAGTCAAGGATGTCTCATTCCTGGTTTCACCGTACCATCTCTCCCTGCCAATTCTCCCCTCCCACCTGGCAACTCAGCCCTCCTTTCCTGACAGTTGTCCTTTGGAAAGACGGAAAGCGCACTTCAGTTTGTTATTGTTTCTCCTCAAACTGAAGTAAAGCACTGAAGCTCAAAATAGAGGTGAGAATGGAGCTCTGCTTTGCCTGGTGCTACGTGCCCCCATCTCACAAGACTGCCTGGATGCGAGAGGCGCCAGGCCCTCTCTGCCAACTCCGACAGGCACTACCGTCTCCCTGGCTGCCAGCGCAGTCCTGGCTTCTTGCTTTTATACTCCGGGGGGAGCCCATCCCAAGAGATCCATCCTGCTCTTTTTTCTGCTAACCCAGCCAGTCCCCAAATCATCTGCTCTTATCAAAAAGATTTGGCAACCTAAAGTAGGCTTGCCAAAAGGCAGCTGGGGAAGGACAAACCAGATCGGCAGCAAGCCACCCGTGTACAGAGAGGAAACCCGCCCTCACTAGGCAGCTGACCTGTTGGTGCCAATCTCGTCTTGTAACAAAATGAGGAAACCTAGCCCTCTTGCTCCAGGAGAGGTCTCAGTGCAGGAGTCCCAGCTCAGACTGAAAGGGAAGTATTACTCTTGAGCTCTCTGAAGCTCAAACATTAAGGCTTCTTTGCAATTTTGTTAGAGCTCTTTGATCCCTAATTACAACCTCCCATACAAGAGAAGCAGATTTCTTCTAAGATTTCGGAACAGATCCTAGGTATTACTGGTTGTGCTTCTGCATTATCAGTCACTAAGCCCCAGCCCAGGCTTCCTCTGGAGCCGCGCAGAAGGCGGCCCAAAGCATATCCCTCCGCCATTTTTTAAACAGAAGCATCTGTTAGTCTCCCACTTTGGAAAGCTCAACCGCTCTCCTCAGTCCTTCTGGAGAGGAACGGAGGACAATGTTACATGGTGCCACTTGATGCCATTAAGGCTCCTCAGGGCAAGAAGACACTTGAATTAGGTCAGAGCTGGCCAGCAAAGGGAAGGGGGAAGAAGGGACAGGGAAGCAGCCCCATGGCAGGGACTGAAAGAAAGACGCCTGCCCAGACCTGAATCAGAGGGAATGCCCACCCCGGCTCAGAGCAGGAGCGGAAAAGGCACGGTGCTGACCCAGCGGGTCCTTCCCCGACCCCCAGGGAGGTAGGGAGCCTGCTGATTCCTTCCCTGGGCTTCTCAAGGTGGGTCATTTTCTAGGGAAAGGTATGTAAGTGCTACAAGAGGGAATATACTGCTGCTGTGTTCTGACTTTCGGCTGAGGCCATGGCCAGGCCTTCCCAGGAGAGGGCAGAAGCAGAGTAAGAAGGAAGAGAAATTCCTTAAAACGGAAGCTTCTTCAAAAAGATAAAGTCAAATCACAATTCTGAAACTGGATTACACAGTTCCCAGGCACAGAAAGAGGAAGGTAAACTCAACTCAAACTTAGCCCCACCTCTTACAAGCCTAAGTGACTTCTTACATGAGCCCCGACTTCAGGCCGGTATCTCTTAGGCAAACAGGAACGAGAGTAAGATCATTCTCTCAAACCAACAGGCGGCCCCGCAGGCCGCGTGGCCCTCCCGGGAGTCTAACAGCACTGCCCCTCGAAGATGCCCATCTTTCAAGTCATGAGAACTCAAGGTATCCACTGAGCAGCTTCTCCTTAATAGCGGAAATTTTTCCAAAGAATGGATCTAGTTTAGGGGACATGGGTCCCACAGATTGTTTCCTGGCACAATGATTCGGCACAAGAGAAGCCCAGAAAACTCCCATTAGAGGCCTGCCGGCCCTTGGCCCAGATCAGAGCGATGCTGCAGGCTCTCTGGCCATCTTCTACAGACATCTTTGCGTGGCCGGCCAAAACAACGGAAGCCACGCTTCTGGCAAAGGGAGTTCCACCTTGGCTGTCTGCTCTTAGCTTTGGCTAGCTGGGCTCAGGGAGGCCTAAAAATTAAAAAGCCCAAGACAGAACATGGATCCAGTAGAGAAGTCCAGGCCTCTGCTTCCCCGCCCCCAACTGCCATCGCTCATCACCCCCCAACCCTAACAGACCGCCTACAGCACAGGCTCTCAGCCCTAGCGCTAGCTCAGAATACAGGCATGGGAAGAAACAGTGCAAAAAGCAAAAGATGAACTACAGAGTAATTCTTAGCCCACACAATACAAAAATAAAAATAGAGTGCCCCATCCCACCCCTTTAACCTAAACTTCACGTACCTCTATCTTCTTGGGGGGGTTAGGGGGGAAAGCTTTCAAGTTCAGCATCATGAGCCAGCTGTGACCAGCCCTTGGCCCAGGGGACTCTACCCCAGCCCCCACCATTTCTTCCTGTTACCTCATTTCCCCTTTGGTTTTTGTCAGTCATAGAAAGATGTTCCTTCCTTTCAGACACGACCAAAGAGGAAAGTGCCCATCCCTGTCCCCGAGCTCAGGGGAAAAGGGTGGGCTTGGAAACAGAGGCAGAAGCAGGGCTGCTTGGCTTACAGTACCACTAGGAAATGGCCCCAGGAGCCAGGGCTTCCTTCTGAGGCTCTGAGTCACTGAAGGGATGCGCTGAGGCGAGGAGGCGGGGACCCCTCCTTCCTCAGTGAGACCCAGGCAAACTAACAGGGCAGAATAGAGGCAACAAGCCTGCCTTCCTCGGCTGGCCAACCATGCCGGCAGTAGCCCGCAGCTCTGGGGGGTTGTGAAGGAATGGGATTTGATGGAATGGGGACTGAAGCCACTGTCAGAAGCCCAAGTAATAGTCGGGATGTCCGCTGCCCCAGGCCGGTGGTCCCAGGACCAAGGCTATCAGAAGCCGTCCTTTAAAAGCAGGGAGCTTTGTGGAGCACTCCACATTCCCAACTGCAGCCTTAGGCCACAACCGTCCAGCTGCCTGACTCAATACCCTGGTACTGAGGCCGAAGTCACAGCTAAAATAAAGGGCTACAACTGTCAGAGGACGAAATGCTGGCCTGGGTTCACTCATTAAAAGCCGAAACCCAGGATGTGAGCCCTAGGGCTACTTCCTTTGTCACATAATAAGTAGTTCAAATAGATGCAGCTCTTTAAAATACATATCCAAAAAAGATGAACCCAAGATTAAACGTATTCCTTAAAAAAACTGCCTTGGCCTGAGATTTCTTTTGCTGCTCGGACCCAAGCAGAAGCCAGTCCTGCTGCCTTCCATCGACAACACTCCTTACAGCTGGGAAAAAGATGACAGTGACAGAGAGCAGGGAAGCAGGGAAGCTTCATTTCCTACAGAAATCTTTCCAAGGAATTCAAGATGGACACTTAGATGCTAAGGTTGGCTGCAGAGCCACCAGGACGATGGCTTGACTGGAAATCTTTCGGCCCTGTCACGCCAAGAACCCGACTGCTACTTGGAAAGCAAATGAAAGGACAGAGGGGCATACTACTGAGATTGGTGAGCAGTGTCCCTGCGCCAGATACAGACCATCAGTTTCTTGGGACAGCTCTGGGCATAACCCAAAACTGGCTGAACTGTGACATAAAAGGACAGAGGAATCGATGAACATCGGATACTAGACATTCTAAACAGTGGTCAGTCACTTAGTAGGGCTCAGGTCTCTGAGGTTGCTCTTAAGTTATGCTTACACAAGCCTTTTCTAATCCAAAGACCAGAAGAGACTCTTAAGGTCAAGTGTTCTGCTGCTGCAGGCTGGAAAGCATCTCTGTCCCCTGGCAGCAAGGCCCTGCAAAGGGGCCAGTAAAAGAACTGCTGGGTCAGGTCTTCCTGGCCGCTGGCTCAGAGATCCAGGGAGGGAGGTACCATCGAGGTGAAGTGGTAGATGATAAGACACTCAGGCAGGGGGAATCCCAAGTCCTCATGTCTTCTTCCCTTGGCAATAATTTAGTGAGATGGCTGAGAGAGAATTCAAACGAGCCAGATGAAGAAACAACCAAAAATTTTGAGAGAGAGAGAGAGAGAGAAGTAATTAAGTCCCCAACAGGCACTGAAATCAAAATGATTTGTTGTGGTAATAAGTCAGAGGCAATTTGAGGACCTGACATAAACTAATCGTCTTGGATACCAGACAGCCCTCTAACTGGCCCCTGTCAGGGAGACAAGCGACGATAAAGCTCAAACAGTAAGGTGGAACCATCAACGGGCTAAAACCAGAAAGGCTTCCAAGTAAGAAAGTATATACTTTTCTTTCTTTTTAAAATTCCCTTCTGTTTTCATCTTTATCATACGAAGTACACATCTTCACACACACACAAACCACACACACTGTCAAGCCCAGGATATCTGGAAACATATCTGGACACAACTTCGGGACACACCTGGCTCCCAGTGCTGGTCTTCTCAGGTAAGAAGATGACCTTGTCCCTGCTGATAGTGTCAAGCCTAAAAAAAGGGGTCTGCTCCAAGCTCAGAGTCCTTCCCACCAGGTAAACCGAAGAGGCTCCTTGAACAGGCAGGACCCGTTTACCCGAGGTACCTTAGAGAGGAGAGGGCTGGCCGGGGGCCAGCCGCACGGAGAGGCCCAGGGCTGCAGCAGGCTCGGGGCCAGGTGGTGGCGAAAGAGGGCTGCTCTCTACTCACTCTGCCTCTTTTGATCTCCTTTAATTTTTTTGTGGTGTTTTTAGTTTGTTTGTTTGCTTGCATTAATCACCGTCAAAAATATAGAAACCAAACCAACATGTTTGGTTTCTTTCCCACACCCCTCCACCCTACACAGGATGGTAATCTGTTCTCATAACCGGCAGAGGCAGAAGAGGGTTGGAATGAAGACTCCGAAGGCCACCAGGATGGGAAACATGAGGCTGCTGTTGTCCGAGGCATAGGGGTTGGGCGTGCGGGGGCCGGACTGCACGCGGTTCTTATTGGTCTGTCTTTTCATATTAGATCCTTCATCATATTCTTCTTCTTCTTCTTCCTCTTCTTTCTTCTCCAGTCCTGGATGAGGCTGCAGCTTCGGTACATCTGACACAAGAAAGACGACACCTTTTAATAAGACCCACAGCTTTTAAGGGAGACCCATAAGAGCAGTAAATGAGTCACAATAAAGAGATACTATGACCTAACCAGGATCCACAGGAAGGAGAAGAAGTAGCAGAAAGAGTTTCTGGCCGAAAGAACTGCAGATTCTGAAAAACATTAGCCTTCTTTAGATTTAACTAAAAAGTAGTAAAAGTCCTGCACACAAGGAGGGTCACTATCTCCCCTTACCAGTCCTAGTTCTCCAGGTCCCCGAGAGGGCATGTTGGACGGGGACAATAACACAAGGTGCAAACTTAACCTTTTCAAATCCCTCCTCCTCCCTGCCATAACCCCTTATTCTCTTTCGATTCACAAAGCAGCTGAGGCAAAGCTGACCCGCCGAGCTCTGGGTTCTCACACATGCGACCCTACCCTCTTCTGTCTCCTCCTTAAGGACTCGAGCTGTTGGCTGCAAGACATCCTCCTGGATGTCACCATGTCAACACGTGGGGGACATCAAGACAACAGGATGAGACACTTGGTGCCATCAGGATGAGTTGGGGAAAGGTTCAGAGGTGGACTGGGGAGAAAAGTCACTAAGACGCTAGCTTTCTCGGCAAAATCCGCCTGGGAAGCTGGCAGCCGGCACAACCTCAGCCCTGAGAAAGAAACATACCCTGACCCGAGGCTGGATCCCGAGGACAAGGAGACATTAATAAATGAACTTCTGCCCAGTGCAGCTTGGCAACACTGGAACCTCGGGGCACCCCGAAACAATGAGGAACTCCTCCTTTTACTCCCCTTCCCCCTTCCTCCCATGAATAGATATCAAAGAAACAGAATAAGGACAAGTTTTAGGCAATTCCAAACGACTACAAGGGTTGGGGCACACCAGTAGGAACCATTATTAACCACAATTTACAAGGAAGTTAAAGGAATTCATCCAGAACCAAACAGCTGACTAAATGGCAGCAACGAAATCTAAACACAGATCTTGCACCAAAGCTTACACCTAGCGCGGTGCTGCACTCCGCTCCCCTCCCCCACCCACTGACCCTGGAGCCCCCACAGCTTGGCTTTAAGTAATAGTTTTCAAAATAGCAAGCAGCTAAATTATCCCCCAAAGGTTTCCTCAACCGCATCCTTCAGCCCAAGTCCAAAAGCAGATCAAAAACAACTCACCGTCCACCGTCCCAGCCATGATGTAGAGCGCACAGACTTTGGGATTGTCGTAGTACCCCTAGGAAGTGGGAGACAGCGGTCAGCCCTGCGGGGCAGCAAAGGCCCCCGCCCCACGCCTATGAGCTCCTCCTCAGTGGTGGGGGCACAACAGGAGTGCTACCTTGACAAACTCGATGTAGAGTTTCCCCGTGAAGGTGGACACCTCTCCCTGGACGCTCAGCTTCCCTTTTCTGATGCTCATCGGGATGATTTCATCATGAGCTGTGCTGTGCCCAACACGATCAAAGATATCCAAGTCCTTTACCACGACATGGCCGTTCAGTCGCACGTCGAATACCTTCCAGGATGGAAAAAAAGGAGGCAACGTCAAACCCATCAGCTTCATGCCCTTTCAGCAGCCAGACAACACACACCTGCCTGGGCTTCAAGTTCAAACATAACTGACGGAATAACAGGGCTGGACATGCTCTGGGGTCGCTGGAATCCTTTACCTGAGCCACACCAAGTCCATGTCCCTTCACTGTCAAGGAGGCCTCATACTGGCCTTAGGGAACACAAAATACAAACAAAGAAGTTCAGTATGGAAAGAGGGAAGTCCACAGGAAGGGACAGGGAAAGGACAAGGCTAACAATAAGAAGGCGCTGACACCAAGGAGAAGGGTAACCTGAAAGGCCTTCACCGGGCCGGCTCGCTGCCAGGAGCCTTCTGCCACCTGCCCCGTGGAAGTGCAGCCTCATGCACGATGGAACACGGCTTCTCTAGGGGCAAAAGGAACCCAGCTTGCCCCTCAAAGCTTGTGGGCTCTCCCCTCCCAGGGAGGCCTGTACACTCTCTGGCCCATCACGGAGGACTATCCAAGAGTGGCGATGTCTCACTGGTCAAGTGGGAGGGGACACTGACCAGGCCTCACCTTCTGCTGGGACTGTGCAAAGTAGACCTCAGCAAACTTCAACACCAGCACATAGTCCCCCTCCTCCTTGATGGGCACTTCGTAGCCAAAGGTCTCCTCGTTGTACCGCTCTGTTTGATACAGGATCTGGTCCTCGGGGTTGGAACGGAGGATTGGCAGTTTCATGCCATAGTCAGAGGCTGGGGACAAAAGACAAAGAGAAATCACACCAGAGGCAAAACAGAAGAGCAGAGACCCCAGAATCGCCAGAGGCATTTCCAGGGCAATGCTAATAACCCTCCAGTGGAGGGGCCAACCCCTTTGCGCCTGGCTCCAGACAGACTAGACACAAAGGCAAGGAAGCCATTACTACGCCAGAGTGAAAAAAAGAAGGAGACCAAACCCTAAGAGCCCCAATAGCTCCCTGCAACCCTCATAGAGGGATTTTCTGAAAGTTTTTCTTTCAGAAATTCCTTTTTCAACTGTGAAGAGAGTGGTGGGAAGAGAACAGGTCTAAGTCATTATCAGAACAAAGCACTGCGCTCCAGCTGCCTGGTTCCCTGCGAGGGGCACTTCAGAGGAACCTCGCAAAGCAAGGGGGTCACAGGGAACTCTGCGAGACGACTAAGTTCAAAGACTGCTTTTTTCTTATTCAGAAAAGCTACGCGTCTAGAAAACAGGATATCTGCTAGGAAAGTCATTCTTCCTTGTCTTTACCACAAATAAGTCACCAGCTTTAGTTGCTTTTTATGATTTTTCATTGAAAAAATTGGAAGGCTAGTTAAAAGGGTGTGATGCTCTCCAATTTCCTATAGATCCAAGCACCTTACTTCCCACGGACTCACAAAATTCAGCCTCACCTACTTTCTTGAACATTCTCCCAGTGAAACGAAAAGAAGAAAGAAAATTCCTCCTGTTCCTCCAGCACGGTCCCTGGACGTCTGTAGGCACTTGACGTGACCTGTGGGCCCTGCCAATGGCAGCAAAGCAGCGAAGCCACGCGCCCCTCGCCACAGGGCTACAGCCCTCCCAGCCGAGGTGGAGAAGCTGCCAAGGCCCTATTGGCACCTCTGGCTTAAGATGACCAAGCTCTGGGGCAGCGGGCCTCCCACCTCACAGAGGGACGGGGGTAAGGCAGGGTGGAAGTAAAAGGATACTCACCCCGGGTCAGTATCGGCACAGCCAAAAACCTCCCCTGCTCCCAGACCTCCCCCAAACTTGGCAGGAGACGATACAGTATCATGTGCGTCTTCCCCCAACCTAACAAACTAACCTGGGGTCTCTCAAGTGTAAGACCCTACACTCCAGCCCCAGAGGTGAAGAGTTGCGCTCCCTTCTCCGGGGAGTAGCCTCTCCGACTCCTTCACCCCGTAAATACAACGAGGCTCTCAGGTGCCCCACAAACCTACTTTCCAAACTACTGACTAAACAGTGATCTCGGCACACAGGCCTGGTCTCTCCTCCGGCTTAGAAGGAAGATTTCAAGGCCACCTTCCCGTCTCACACAGTGACTCTGGCGCCATGTGGCCCCTAGGTCCCTTGGGAGATGCCTAAGAGTGACCACCCCTGCGCATTATCTTCTGAATCACCAAAACTCCAAGAGAGAATCTGGAGATAAAAAAAGTAACTGAAAGACCCAAAGGCTAAGGTCAAACCCACAAAAAAATAAACATAACTATTAACAGTTCCTGTAAGTGAACAGGAGCCTGAGATCAGATGCACTAATGAGACAATGTAACAGGAAACGCACTGCACTTGTGTCTTCAGACATTTCTTTTTCCTAGTTCTCCTCAAGAAATCAAAGAGGAGCAGCTGAGTCGCACTACAAAGGATGTACTGCTAACATGCCGCAGGCTCTTTCCCCGGCTCATGTGACAGTACGCTGGGGTATAAACCTATCAAGATGAAAAGACTGCTATTTTTCATTCGACTGAGTTCTAAGAACTTCCTTCTTCTACGAGGACCGTGATCCTTACAAAGTTGGAACATTAACTAGATTTGCTTTTTAGATACACAGAAAATTTTGTGCATGTGTGGGGAATCATGGCTTTTCTTTTTTGTTTTTCCCCTTGCCAAGTGGAAAAAGTGAGAAACTGACAGTAATGTAATCTCTGGCAGTCTCAGTTCCACAACCAAGGAAACAGGCATGTGAACAAAAAAACGACTTAATAACCTTGGAAATTACCTTCAAATATTTTCCCTTTAAAGCTCAAGTGGCCTTCCCAAGAGGTACGCCACATGCAAAGCTGAATTTGTCCAAGTCCCAAGAGATACAGCAGCAAAAAGGATTTTTTTCTTCCCTCCTTTGCCTTTATGTAGCCACAGCGAAACAGATTTCTCTAAAATACAGCGAAGTGTACAGAGCACACACTGAAGTTGGCACATTACAGCTCAGATAGCACAAAGGAAGGGCCAAAGGGCCTACATTTATCCGCAGCTCCTTAGCCCTAGACAATGCAGGAGCCAGCCCAGGTTTTAGAGTGACACAGACGAGGATTTGAGTCCTGTACTGTGGGATTCAGAACAAGTTATTTTCTCAGGCTGTTTTCTCACCTGTAAAATGGGGATATCACCTACCTAGATTCTCTGTGAACTTCTGCTACTTGGAGGACATGCAAATGAAGCCTGTATCTTAGGTGACAGTATTGGGACAGGATTCTACACAGATTCTGTGTCTTAAGCAAACCAGAGGTATCCTATCTTTCAAGCTCTTCCCTCACCAAGGCAAAATCCTTCCTCAGCCAAAGGGAAGGCTGCCCAGAAAAGGGTCTTCCTCAGGCCCACAGAATTAGTAATCGGAAAGGCTCAGGCCCCTAGCCAGCTTTCTTCCCTCCTGCAACCCTGTTCTGCCCTACTTTTAATCCCATGTAAAAGATCAAGCAAAGAGAGACACTTTAACCTGCTCTGGACAGCAGAGTTTTCAGATTCATATCACTGATTTATAAAGCGTGTGAAGTTTTATTGAGAAGAAAAATAAAGCTCAGAGAGATAAAGAAGTTCTTCAAGGTAATACAAATGATTAGCAGATATCTTTCTATGAAGAAGAAATAGCCTCTCCTAAAACCAAGCCGAGCACTATGCCCTCAGGCCAAATAACCAGGTCTTCCCTTCCTTAGAATCAAGAGAAACCCAGAAGGGGCAAATTACAAAGAACCCAGAACATGCAGCATGCCAAAATCCCAAACTGAGCGCCTCTGAATCACTCTGTGAAACTGCACTTTCATCTTTTGGAGCATGCGGGTTGTAGAGCTTTTCCCAGGCTGTCGGTGTTTCCTATGACACACACTCTCAAGGCAGAAATGAAGTTCAATAAACATCATGAAGTGCTTTTGAAAGCAAAAGGCACTAGGTGCCCTGGGCCACTCACAGTTATATGAATGCTGAACTATAAAGACGCCACAGAGAAACAGCAAGTTCAAGAGGAGGCCAAATCCTTATCTGGATTAACTTGGCAACAAATACCTGAATTCATTCAACATAGAATGAACTTTCTTTAGCATGCTGGAAACAGTATCACAGGCATGTGGGAAAAGATATAAGCATAGAGCTCCCACTGCAATCATTGTGAATAGCTACATGAGGCACAGGTCTCCAAATAGCCGGCACGCCCTTATCCAAACAGTGCTGGAGAAGGAAAGCTGTTCGAACAGCTGTGCTTCCCTGGGTGGTGCCGCCCTCCTGAGCACAGAAGAAACTAGGGAGCTGTCTCCTGAGAGTGCAAGCTTAATCACACCTCGGCCCCGGGCCTAAAGCCAGCAAAATGCTACTCTCAGGCACCCAGAAGTACAATATTGCAACAGGCTGGTCCAAGCTGCATCGGAGAAGCATCTTCCACTCCACATCCATGTCTTCATACTGCTACAATTTCAACCCAAATCGACAGGCTGGAGCAGGACTCTGTCAACAGACTACCTCAGAGGCCAGGGCCCGAGGTAGGACTCTAATACGCATGAGCTTTGGTAGGTTTCATATAATTTTACTTGTTACAATAAACTCCAAAGGAACTGCAACCATGAACCAATAACCCAAGGACAAGGAGCCTGGTGATTGCTGATCAGGTCAAAAAAAAAAAAAAAAGGAAGGAAGGAAGGAAAGAAGGAAGGAAGGAAGGAAGGAAGGAAGGGAGGGAGGGAGGGAGGGAGGGAGGGAGGGAGGGAGGGAGGGAGGGAGGGAGGGAAAAAAAACACCACCTGTACCAGCAAATTAAAACCAGAAGTTCTGAATAAGGGGAGTAGCTGAGAACCAAAACTGTGTGGTCCTAACTTCCTCCTCTGCAAAACGGACCTAAAAGCCTGATATCCGCTTAAATGAAAGGAACCATCTGCACACTGTCCTCACCACAGCTATCTCAGGAGGCAAAGTCCACAAACGGTTGGTCTCTAATTTCCTCAAGGGCCCATACCCACGAAAAGGGTCCGGATGGAGATAGCTGGGACCTACTGCTAGGAAGTCTGGCTTTGGCGGCTGTTACAGCTGCTAAAGGCTGGGGCCCTGACTCAGCTGAACCCAGGCTACTGAGACCTACATGCCAGGGCTAAATAAATTCCAAGGCAAACACAGAACTCAAAAAAACAGCCCTGTGTCCCAACGCTCTCACATATAAGTAAGCCATAAACTCCCTAACACATAGTCAACCCCAAGACACTGCAATTAACTTGGAATAACTAAGTTAAATACTTTAGTCAAGACAAGAGCCAAATCTGGGCATCGTGGAAAAAGAGTGTGAGAAAGTCTGTCTCCTAGTTTTCTGGCAATGGCACATTGCCAGTTTTTCAGCCTCTGAACCCAGCATACAGCATAAATCTTCCAACGCATGAAGCAAGGGACTCCTTCTTAAACCTATTTTCCAATCCTACTTACAGAAGAAACAGAGTCTAGAGCAGATTTTCCCAAACAGTGGTGTGGTCTAGGGATGACTTATATCAGAAGCCTCTGGTACAGAAACCTGGGTTTAATTTCTTAGGTCTGGGGTTTGCATTTTTAACCAGATCTCCTGGCAATTCTTCCACCAACTTGGAGAGAACTGTGCAGCTCTGTAAAAACCGCTATTGCTCAATCAGTTAAGTCAAAATCATTTTTCTCATAAGCTGGAATCATACCTCTCTGGATCACTTAGGGTAAGTTCTACACTCTCAAAATATTCAGAACTTACACTGGCTGACCCAAATGACACACCACCAGACTCGAGTGCACGATGGTTTCTATATAACCATCCTCTGGGGGCGGCCTGCAACTTCTACTTTTAAACACACACAGCCCTCGCTCCAAAGCGGGGCGGGGAAAGGATGCTGCAATCAAACTTTTCTGGCCCATCCTCTTCGAAGATTCCTTTCTATTCTGGCTAAGTATCAAGCCCCACTCCTTCAGAACGAGTAAGGAAAGCGTCTAATGTCTGGGGTCCGCAGGATCCTACCAGGAACTGACTTGATCGGAGAGAACCACCCGGGCCAGGGACACCGGTAACCGACAACCGTGAGGCCCCGAGGTGACAATAGGCCGCCCTCGTTTTTACTTTTCTCCCAGCTCGGGTGGAGGCGAGGGGTTAAGCAAAAGGCAGGATGCGAGGTCCCACTATAACTTCTCGCCAACTCTGCCTCAATGGCTCTTGATAGCTTCTCGAGCCAGTGCGAGGCTCTTAGCTATGACCGGGTCCCTACTGGAAACTGCAGAAACTTCGCTCCAGAGACGCGGCCCCAGGGTCAAGGAAGGGGGTCGGGGCCGCAGCCCTTAGCTGGCTGCGCCCAGCACGGCAGGCCTGGGATCCCGCGGCTCCGCGAGGGGCTCTCACCTCGGCCCACCCGGCCTTCCAAAGGGTCCTTGCGGAAGTGGATCCCGTGCACGTCCACATGCGCCTCACCGCCCGCGTTGACGGCCCAAATTACGCTCTCGGGCAGCCCGGCTCCCACCAAGCCAACCATGCCGAGCCCCGGCCCGCTGAACGCCGGCAGCAGCAGCGGCAGCAGCAGTCGCAGGAGTGCCACAGCGGCTCCCTCAACCGCCCGGGCCCCTAGCATGGCGGCCACCAAAGCGGGGGCAGCCTCCTCCAACCGTCGTTCTCAACCGGCCTCCAGGCCGCCCTGGACTCAGAGAAACAGCGCCACGGGCCGCTCTACCTCACCCGCCGGGGACATGTCGATCTCAGGCCTCCGTCTCAACGACCGCTACCACCTCCCACCTCGGGAACAACCTACCCCGTCGCCCAGCCCCCAGCCACGACCTGCAGCCAGTCAGAACCCGGTCCTCATTAATTAGCCAACACCTTGCCGGGAGTCGCCCTCCCATTGGCTGTCAGGAGCGGGGGAGGGCGTGGCTACTCCCAGGCGCCAACCCAACCGCGGGGCCCGAGAGGGAACGCGCGCAGAGGTTCGGAGTTCGGCTGAAATGGTGGTTCAGTACGGAAGTGGCGGGGTGCAGCGCCCATGCGGCCCCGGAATCTCGTAGCTGAATGGGAAAGGTGGCCGAGGGAGGAACGTTTAGGGTAGAGCGCACCGACACGTTGCCAACACTTCCGGTGCTCCAGATCCTAGGACCGAATGGGCTCCAGAGGGGGCGTGGCCGACTTTCCCGCACCCTCTTTCTCTGGGAGATACACGACCATAAGCTCTAGTAGAAGCGATAGACACTCTTCCAACCTCAGAGTCTTTTTCTCCGAGTGAATCAGGAAACCCATCCTCCCATAGAGAGGCCCCGTGCATAGGTCTTGACGGCAGGACTCCCACGAGGACAAGACCCCGCCCCCACACCCTAGCGGGCTCGGGCCCGGTGGTAGCGTCCAGACGGCCATCCAATCAGAAGGCTCCAACGCAGCGGAAACGCGTGGCTTAGTGGGGGCGGGCCTCCAGGCTACCCTTGTCTCCGTGGCAACGGCCTCTTGCCCGCCCCGGCGTCGGAGGGGGCGGGCCGGGGTTTCCCCAGCTTGGGAGAGAAGAGTAGCGGACAGAGGCCACTCTGGAGCGCCGGTCTGGAGGTCCAGTGTCTTCCACGCTGGCAGGACCGGAGTTCTCTGTCTGCTGGCAGTCTACCCAGCGTTATCTCCCACTGTCGATCCCTGCGCTGTCGTCGCTGCTCGATAGAAAAACAGGCCCAGAGAGGGGCGGAGTGTTGCCCAAAGGGTCACACAGCAAATTTAGGCACAGCCAAGACAAAATCCCGTTTATCTATTTATTCCACAAATGTTTATAGAAAGCCTACAATTAGGGTTGTCAGATTTAGCGGATAAAATACAGAAAGCCTAGTTAAATTCAAATTTCAGATAAACAAATGCGACAGGCTAATACTGAAAAATAATTGCCTGAAGTTCAAATTTAGCCCTGGTTGGTGTGGCTCAGTGGATTGAGCACCGCCTTGCGAACCGAAACGTCGCCAGTTCGATTCCCTGTCAGGACACTTGCCTGGGTTGTGGTCCAGGTCCCCAGTTGGGGGCGTGCGAGAGGCAACTGGTGGATGTATCTCTCACACATTGATGTTTCTCATCCTCTTTCTTCCTCCCTCCCCCTCTCTAAATAAAATACTTTTAAAAATAATAAAAATAAAATTCAAATTTAACTGGGCTTTTGCATTTTATCTAACAACTCTGCCTACTGGAGACCAAGTAATGAGCTTTGTGCAGCAGTGAACCAAAGCACACCAGGCATCCTGCACGAGAATCACAGTCCCACGATTCAATTAATTATTTAGTTAGAAAAATGATGAGTGCTACAAAGGAACAAAATGGGGTACCAAAATGGAGACTATTGATAGGGGGTTTTATTTTATTTATTTTTCAGTGAAAGGAGAAGGGAGAAAGAGAGGGAGAGAAACATAGATTGGTTGCCTTTCACACCCTGGGGACCACGCCCACAACCCAGGCATGTGTCCTGACCCCCAGGAGAAGGGAACATGTCTCCCTTTAGTACACAGGCCAGCACTCAATCCACTGGGCCACCAGAATTCCTTCCCTAGTCCCCAAACTCACACAAGAATAACTTTTGGACTGGCCCCTCCTGGTTCCACTTTTTCCCCACCTTTTCTCAAGGATCTGGACTTGCTTCCCCCTACAGGTATGTTTTCTCCCCCAAGGCCTCTCTGGGACCCTGCCCTTGGGTTTCTAATCCCACTCTCTTCTCTTTGAAAACTGTCATCTTTGGAGGAAGCGGTCCAGTTAGTGCTTGAATAGCCCTCAGAGCAGAGGTTATGGGGGCTCCCACCCCCAACCACCACTTAACCTGCAGAGCCCGTGTTCTAGCCATACACTATACTTCCTCCAGGAACTCAGGTTTATTTTATCTTCTAGTCTAGTTCAGGAGATAACTCTCACAAAAATGGATTGAACCTTCCTCAAAAAGCTTTAACTTGAAGCCTTGTCTCAGCCCCCCAGATCCTTGGTCACTGGAAGGAAGTGAACAAGATTCCTGGCTAGCCCCCGCTGGTCTCTTCAGGTTCTACACCTGCCTGGGTCACCCTTGTACCAAAGAGCTTGTCTCCATTTTTGAGATTCAGCTGCTTGTGAATAAGGCTACCTTTCAGGTAAAATGAAATTTCTGAAACCCCATAGGCAGGATGTGCACGGAATCCAAGTTAGGCTGCCTGGGTTCCAGGGCCTGATCCACCCCTTTCTGTGTGGCCTTTGAACAAACAATATACCTCTCTGAGTTTGTTTTCTCAACTGCAAAAGGCATAATAATACTTCCTACTTCAAAGGATGGATGTACGATTAGAGAATGCAACCATCTGACCTAGCAATTTCATTCCGTTTCTCCCAAGAGAAATGAAAATGTATGTTCACACAAAAACCTGTACACAGATATTCATAGCAACATTATTCATAGTAGTCAAAAAGTAGAAGCAACCTCGATATGAAGTACAGCATAGGCAATATAGTCAATAATATTGTAATAACTATGTATGGTGCCAGTTGGGTCCTGTAAATATCAGGGGGAACACTTTGTAAAGTATATGACTGTCTAATCACTAGGTTGTACAGCTGAAATAGGTAATCACTAGGTTAGCTGAAATAATACAAAATTTCTTCTCTCTAGGCCTCAGCTTCCTCATCTATAAAATATAAATAAGAAGACCCACCATATAAGAGTATTAGGAGCCCTTAACAGAGTACCTGGCCCATAGTAAGGTCCTCAGTGCACAGTGACTATTAATCATATAAAAGAAACATTCACAGCATGTAATGCTGGCACTTGATAAATAGTGAAGGCCTTGGTGAAATGCTCAGGCTAAGGAGTTGGGAAAACACCTTTCCATCCCAGGGAGGGAAAGCCAAAGGGAACTAGGTTCAAAAGTGGAAAACGAGCAGCGACTTGTGAGCCCCCAGAGGCAGTTTCACCTTGACCCACAAAACTGAAAAGGGGTGTGTCTTCCTGTGCAGATAAGGATCAGAAGAACAAAGCGTGCTATTAATTGTCTTGCCTATTTTAAGTTTATGGAATATTTTCCCCCTTAAAGATAAGCTCACAATAAAAGTTCAAAAGGTAAACACAGAAAGGAGGTGGAGGCCAGTCTTGCCTTCTGCTAAACCTGCCCTGCCAGCCCTTGGACTCAAAAGTGGGTAGTGTGGTACCAAAGCCAAGTTTCCTAGCTCAGGGCCTATAGTGGTTAGACAGCAAGGGGACCAGAGCCACCCAGAGTGTCAGGGAACCAACGTGTTGCCCAGTCCTGGCCCCAAGTGGGCCACTTGAACCAAGAGAAACCTGGCTGGGCCTCGAACTTCACAGGAGGGAGAATGGAATTGGCTTTTCTTTCCTTCCCCGTGGAGGATGTGAGTCACCAAGAAGAAGCCAGCCAGGTCTAGGATTGCCTAGGACAAAGACAAAAATACCAAGCGTCTTCCCATCTGGATGGCCTTGGGTAAGCTACTTACCTTCTGCACTACAGTGTCCTCACCCGTAAGTGAGGTGATGAGAATTTTCAGTCTCCTGGAGACTTCATCATAGGATGAAGATTATATAAAGCGAACTCAGGAGAGTGACTTCCATGACCATCGTAATCACTCTCCATATGTTAGCTGTTTTCATTATCTCCCTGACTCTTTTAATTGTGTTAAGGAAACGATTTATGAGATCAGGAGCACCAAGGACAGTCTTTATTATCTACTGCACATGTAAGCTTGGTGAGTCACATCTCCTCTCTGAATCTCAGTCTCCTCATCTGTAAACTAGGATGAGATGGTAAATAGAAAGGGCTTAACATGAAGCTAACAATAACTAACATATAAATAAAGCAACTGCTTTATTTTTTCCATTCTCTTCCCTAGAACTGGGCAAATTATGGAAGCAACAAGAAGAAATAGGATAGCCAGAGCTTGTCCACTGGATTGTAAATGGTCCATCTGCCAGCTGTCCCTTTAGGCCAGAACTTTCTACCATGATGAAAACACACCAGAGCTGTACCATCTAGTACAGTAACCATCAACCATACATGGCTACTGAACATATGAAATGTGGCTGGTATGTCTAGGGAACTAAATTTTTATTTAATTGTAATTAGTTTAAACTTAAATAACCACATGTGGCTAGCAGCTACCATATTGGACAGTGCAGCTTGGACTGTAAGTTCCAAGGGACTGGTCATCAAATCTGTCTTTCTGTCCCTATCCCTAACAGCCAGCACAGGACCTGTGTTCAGTTAATATTTGTTAAGTTAAAGAATTAATGGATGCAGGAACTGCAAAGAGAACATTTCAAGAACTGCCTCTCTCCTCTTTTCCGTGAAGTTTCTAAGACTTACCTGTGAAATGGGAATAATGGTAGTGCCTATCTCATAGAGTAATAATGAGAATGAACAAGTTAATGTTTGGAAAGGGCTTAATAGAATGGCAGCAACATAGCTGGTGTTATACAAGTGCTTATTAATTAAAAATAAAACTCATCTAGCCTGTGTGAACTCTTCCTTTTTGGAGAGTATATCAGTCATACTTAAATTTGGTTGCAACTGCAGGAAACATTGAAAGTAATAATGGCTGGAATGACACAGAAGTTTTACTCTCTCTCTTTGAAAGGAGTGTGGAATAAGGTACTCCAGGGCTTCTGGGGTGGCTTCCAGAAGGTGCCAGGGACCAGGGCTCCTTCAGATGGTTGCTCCACCACCCTCGATACTGACTTCTTCCTCGTGGTCCAAAATGGCTGCCCAGGCTGCAGCCCTCAGGGCCATACCCCAGCTAGCAAAGAGGAGGAAGAAAGACAACGG